ATTCTTATTCATCAAAACCTAATCTCTAAAATTTGTGTTTACTACCCTTTATATAGCCCAGGGAAATAAAATAATCAAAAACCCAAAAAGAAACAAAAACCTAAACCTAAAAGGAAGACCAAACTCGGTCAGACTGATAAACTGATATTTGCACATGTTTTGCCCACTATTCGTGTACCCTTTGAGAGTTGATTCTCGTGTTTTAAACCAATTTCACGCTAGGTTGTGCTTTTATGTCATATTTCAGGACCTGGAGCGAAATGGGAGGCTTGGAAGCGAGTTTTGGGTAAAAAACGGAGAGTTGGCGGGAAGTGGAGCTGCAAGGGCAAAATACCAGGTTAGGTCACCCAAATACTCGATCGGGTAAATTCAGCTGAGACAGGGTATTCGACCAGGGAGAACTAGAAGACCCCCGACCATGAACCATAAATACCCAACCGAGTATTTTTATCCTAGGTCGGGTATTTCCCCTACAATGGAAGCTGCTACGCATCGTTTCAGATAGTACCCGGTCTAACTCAGGAATACCCGACCGAGTATTTGGATCGAGTAAGCCTAAATCGGGTTTTTACAAGCAGAATGCGGGTTTTGGTCTCTCAATCGAAAAAGCTTCTCAATCGAAAGCCACTGGAGGAACTTAATATTAACAAATGGGACGAAAGAAAATAAGTTGCAATGATTTGCTTGCCTGGTTTTACAATCATGCCTCACAAAGATTTGACTTGTCCCTGCTTTTGTCAAATATCTCATCCCAGGAGCTGAAGGCTAAAATATGTCAGTCTGGGGAAGTTCCCATTCCAAAAGGTCCCTATAGAGAATGGCAACACAAAAGACAGAACTAGAGGACTTCAAGTTTACTTACTGGTCGCCACATTATTTAGATCCGCCGAAACCAGCCCGGTTGGTCATGAACAAGGTTCAAGAAAGTGCTAGGCGTAAGGGCGTAAGGCAAGTATTGAGTCTAGTCACTAGTGGCTATCATGCTTAGGCGTCACCTAGGCGTGTCTACGCATTAGATGTAAACGTAGCAAAATATCTAACACTTGCCTAGGATCACAAGTTTATGAACCAATATCATCGCATCTACCTTTCATTTCTAAACCTCCATCCACAACACATGGTAAAGTATGAAACATAGTGTGGAGAAATGGGAAAGGAAGAAGTTGGAAAATAGCAAAGCATATAGAGAGCGGAGAAGTGCAAAAATGAAAGAAGGAAGCTACTATAAAGATAGTCATCTCTAACTCTAGCCTAGAGGCTTGGAACAATAGGGAGGGGAAGAAGGAAAATGATGGATGGTCTTTATTTCTCTATAACCTAGTAGCATATCAAAGGTATAAAAAAAGAGATCGTAACGTCATTTTGAGGCGCAACTCAAAACTGAATAGGGGCCGTCGAGGCCACACCGTGATCATGACGCCTTGTCCGCTACTTTTGGCCAAGGTGAGATTGTCATGATGAATTACACTAAGGCGAGTGTCTAGGAGCTCTTTTTATAACCTTGGTCAAGAGACAATCCATATCTTTTTGCACATAGAGATTGAGAGAACATTACATTAGAGTTCCCAATGGTTCATCTTTGGCATGTCATGCTTGACATACCGTGAGATATATGTCGTAACTGGATAACTCCGTTAGTACGATATTGTCCGCTTTGGGCCAAGCTCGCACGAATTGACCTTTGATTATCTAACCCAAAAGGCCTCTTACTAATGAGCTTGATAGACACTAGTATAATGTGGTCCTTTCCCTTGTGTTTCAGGGATGTGGTACTTGAATTGTCCTATACCAATCATCTCTCAAGACAAGGACCACAGGCTTCATGTCCTCATAGCGATTATCTTGATCCACCAAACTAGATGTAGATCACCTTTATCACCGAATGAGGCTCTGACCAAACTGATGTTCACAAACCTGAATCCAGGTAACCAGGTTTGATACCACGTGTCGTAACCACATAGCTCCATTAGTATGATATTGTCCATTTTTGGGCCAAACCTGCACTGATTTACTTTTGCGTATCCTCCCCAAAATCAAGGCTTTGTACTAATGGGATTGATGACACTAATATTCAAATGTCCTTTCTCTTATATTCCTCATGTGGTACTTGGATATCCCATAACAATATAAAAAGTAAATTACCAAAAACTCCAATGCAGAGGATTTGGAAAATTGTGTTCCAACCAAATATCTTTGCCCCAGTCATGCTCTCATTAACACTACATACTATGGTTTACTAGGAATGACAATGGGACAGGTCCGAGGATGATGAGGGAATGGGCTGGACTCGGGTTAGGAGTAGCTACATGGGGGAAGGGTTTCGTTTGGGTTGGTTTAGAGAGGGGTAGTAGGCGGTCGAATTATAGGTTTAGTTGTACGTCTCGGATAGGATTAGGATAGTTATTAGGGTTTCTACCCTATATATATTATACGATTAGCATTAGTCCGGTTATCGAATAATAAACCTAAAATAGTCCTTCAACACTTTACGCCGTTCTCTCGCCTGTGAGCTACAAGCAACCTCTGAACCGAGAGCGTCAGTTCATCAGTGGTATCAGAGGTTGCTGCTTCCGCGGCAATGGGGGTATTAGCGGCTGAACGTTGTACGACATTGGAGGCCACCACAGGCAGATTGGTGGAGCAGGTGGACTGACTTGAGGCCACGGTCCAGGCGGCGCGTACGGATGCGACCCAGGTGATAATCATGGTGCAGTTGGAGCATCTCACGCTTCAACGTGACAGCAAGGAGATCCTCGCGACTCCCGGGGCGAGGTAAAGTCCACTGGTGGCAGCGGCGGTGATGAAAAGTCCGGTGCCGAGTTTGGGAAGACTAGAGTGGAGCTAGGTGGCGAGCGCAGTGTGACCGGAGGAAAGGGAGCGACTGGCGGGCGGCGGATGGGTGCATACGCTGACTCGAGTAAGCCTCGGGGTGGCGATGGAGGAGCAAAGAGAAGCAGTGGCGGCACGGCCTTTCTCGCCAAGTTTGCACAGCTGGAGTTTCCGAAATTTGTTGGGGATGACCCTGTCGTGTGGTTCCCACGCGTGGAACAATTTTTTGAGTATCAGGAGGTTCCGGTAGATCAATGTGTTGGATTGGCTTCGTTCCATCTGGAGGGAGAAGCTAATCAGTGGTGGCAGTGGCTGAAATGGACGTACAAAGATGACGGGGAGCCGATTACAAGGGAATTGTTTTCCCAAGAGTTCTGGGCGCATTTCGGGCCGACGGAAGGCAAGCACTGCGATGAGGATTTGTCTCGCATACGCCAAACGGGCTCTCTGCGCGACTACACCCGCGAGTTTGAGAAGCTTGCTAATCATTGTGTCGGTTGGACACAACAGGCGTTGGTCGACATCTATTTGGGTGGCTTGAAGGCAAAGATCATGGATGAAATACGAATGTTCCGACCCCAAACTCTGCAGGACGCGATCAGTTTGGCCAGATGGAAGAATGATCAGCTCCTGCATCACAAGCCTGCGAGTCGGTCGACCGTTCAGTCGGGAGGAGGGGCGACGGGTTATGGTAATGGAGGGGGTGGTAGCGCATATGTTCCAAGAACGACAAACACAATGCCTCCAGGAGGGACATGGCCACCTCGCGGGCCTCCGGGTGGGAAGTGATTATGCTGGGACGAGCAACATCTCCGTCGTGCTCAAGGACTGTGTTTTAACTGCGATGAGCGGTTTACCATAGGGCACAAGTGCGGTAATGCGAAGGTTATGTGTTTGTTTGAGGAATATGACTTAGAGGATGAACCTTGGGGTCAAGGTTGATTTCAAGGCGGGAGGAATGATGAGGGAATGGGCTGGGCTTGGGTTAGGAGTAGCTACATGGAGCAAGGGTTTCGTTTGGGTCGGTTTAGAGAGGGGTAGTAGGCGACCGAATTATAGGTTTACTTGTAGGTGTCGGCTAGGATTAGGATAGTTACTAGGGTTTCTACCCTATATATATTGTACATTCGGAATTAGTCCGATTATCGAATAATAAACCTAAAACAATCCTTCGACACTTTACGTCGGTCTCTCGCCTGTGAGCTACAAGCAACTCTCGAACCGAGAGCATCGGTTCATCAGGGCAGGTATCTCGATACCCATACCCGTCCTATGGCAGGTTGGGTGATTGGGTAATTTATATGAAAAATATTAGAAATAATTGTTAGTTTCAATAGAAGACCAAGAACAAACCATAATATGATAAATGTAGTTAAACTATTGGAGAAATTGAGGTTTTCACTTATTTATAATGTTATGATAGCTAAAATTCTAAGTTGTTTTGAAATTTTTTGCACAAAATGAATTAGTTCATCATGTTTTATTGGACCTACAAATTTGTGGATAAAGAAAATACAATACAAAAAAAATACCACACAATACCACCCTGGTACGGGGTGGTATCTTGTGGTACACAATGTTGAAAGTCATAAATGACAGTTAGTATACTCCTACTATCATGTATTCAACCATCCTACAGTCTTGGTATGTTCATACCACCTTGTTACGCTTTTCATACCATATGTTATTCTATTATTTCAATACCAGTCAATACCATATGGTATAAAATGGTAAAAAATGGCTCAATTTTTTTTGTTCAAAAAATATATCAAAATGGATATCATTTTGAATAGTACAATTAATCTAATCTAACTATGCAAAAAAAAAAAATACTTTTTGACTTAAAATGAGTGAGAAATCGTCGTTAAAGATTAAAGAGAGAAAAATTAAATGCTTTACAGTAGAGAGAAGAGACGTTGATGTGGCGGATTCTGATTGGGTTATGCATAGTTATTAACCACAAGAATATTGTTTCGCATTGATGATGTTCAATTCCTTTCTTTCAACATCAATCTACTTAATATACTAGATTGTTTTGGATGAAAGGGGTTAACCATCATGATATCTATATGTAGACACGAACAAACTGAATCACTAAAGCGCGAAATAGAGAGAAAAAATTGAAAAGAGACCCAGTTAGGTCAGGCTCAAAGCTAGTTAAGTAAATAATAAAGGGTAAATACAATATATTAGCCACAATTATTACAAATCGGGAAATCATATCCACAATTATCAAAATACAAATTATTAGCCAAACGTTTAACTCTCCGTTAACAATTCTGTTAGTAACGCTGACTAAACTTTACGATACTGAGCTAAATCCAAGTAATAACTTCCATCCGGTTTGGCGTGTAGTATGGAGAACCCCTGTTGCTAGAAGAATACAAGCTTTCCTCTGTAGAGATGAAGACTTCGATATGGGAAGATGAGCATGCGTCGAGAAGACCAACAGTGGATGGAGGCAACGTATGCTCGAAGGAGGAGAAGTAGGGGATGACGGCGACGACAATTGTAATTGAAGATGACCTAGTGAGGAATGGAACGAGGATGCGGTTGCGAGAAAGAATTGAAGGCGACGACGAATGGTTGGCAGCGGCGGATGCGGTAGGGAACGACTGGGGACGAATTGAGGCGGGAGGGATTTGATCGGGAGGAAGAAGCGGGATTGAGGAGGAGGGATTCGACTGCGAGAAGGCGACGACGAAGGGCTGGCAATGGCGGATGAGGTAGGGAACGATTGGGGAGGGATTGAGGTAGGGGAGACTCGATCGGAGTGAAGAAGCTGCGGCGAGGCGGAGGAGGAGGGAAGAAGGTCGGGATGTGGCTGGGGAAGAAGAGGCTTTGACCTCCATTTTTTGTTTTGTTTTTAATGTTTGAAAATTATAAATAAAAATTAATCTGACGTGGAAGGTGATGTGGCTGCTGACATGGCCTTTTCCGTTACAAAGTTAATAACGGTAACATACTGCTAGCCATTCGCTTACACGCAACAATAATTATGACTAATAACTTTTATATTCATAATTGTGTTAATTTCCGGCTTAGTAATAGTTGTGGCTAATATATTATACTTGCCCAATAATAAATATTAAATTCTATTTTCTTCGGCCTCCATGTCCACAAACCAAACAAAACCCTCTCAATCACGAATCATCATCCTCATCCAGTCATCCTCAATTTTTTTAGGTAATATGATGGTATACTATGACATAACATATTGGCATATTCGAAAATAATTCACAAATCCCTACCTTCCTTCTGGTATTTGTTCTAATCTAATCCCTACGTCTGGTTTCTTTCTCCGGTAGAATTCCCGATCTGAAGCCAGACGAGAAAAATCAAAAAGAGGTGATGTCCCCAGCCGCCGCAGTCGAACAGTCAATGCCGGAATTGGCGCCGCCACCTACCAATTCCATCCCGCACAGCTCTGGCCCTTCCCGCCCTCCTTTCGCCAACCTCAGAGGTGTTCAATGGCGAATGGATCTCGGGATTCTGCCTTCTCCTCCTCCGCCGTCTTCATCTCCCTCTTCCTCTGTTCCCTCCTGGACAATTGATGTTCTCCGCCGAGTCACTGCCGATTCTCGCAGAAGGTAACTCACATATGGACTCTCTTATAATGTATTTCGGATGGCACGGTATATCACTTGCCTGTTGTTCTTCAGTCATATCTTAATTGTCGATATGACTGCTTCCTGAACGACTTCCCTTGATGGTCGCCTAAAACTCTATTGTTTTGCGGACGCTGCAACTCATTAGGGGTTCTGCATGTCATCTGTATCGTCTTATAGTTTTATTTTGCTGATAAGCGCGAGCCATGAAATTGGGGATACTTCTCGTTCCTTGCCTTTTCGTTTAGAGTTCACAGCTGCGTCTGCTATCATCTACCCCGCAACTCCTACTGGAAAGGGAAAGAATTAATGCTTGTCCGCTGCAGTGTGCTAGATAAACTTGTTCATCAAAGTCTGAGGTAGTTCATGTAAGTGCGTGGATACACAAATGCACCAAGCACTCAGATTAATTCGAGACTAGCGCCAAAACTTTAAGTTGGAGATGTCGGTGCCATTCAGTTAAGTATATAAAGGAATATATAGAGCTAAAATTGAATCTCCTGCAGTCCAGTCGTGCAACCCTTCTCCTTGAGTGGATGATGGTGAACATGATAGCATCCAAACATGTAGGATGATAGAGCAAGAACTGCTGCTTAATGGATTTTTTTTTTTTTTTTTGCTTTGCGCTGATAGAAAGTTGTATGGGGGATAGGGTTTTGCTTCCCATTTCCCATGGATCTCGATTACGAAATTTCCTTACTGACGCCCTCATCAATCCTTCTCCTTTTCACGTGCAATGAGACTTAAGAGAATGCATGACATTGATAAGGAGAGAGGTAAGCATTTACTTAATGTGTTTGATGTTAAGTTTTTTTTTTGTCTTCATGAAATCCCAAACCGTTGGAGGAATGGTTAAGGACTTGTGAGCCAACGTTAGAGGGAAAGATGCCACACCTCACACCTTTACTTTGGCCTTATTGTTTGTTAGTGATGCTGTGTCTCTGGTATCCATCCCTGTGACGAAAGTCTGGATTTACAAAAGGGAGATGGAGAGTGTTGGCCTGGGCTTGGAATTTTTAGCTACTTTATAAGTTATTGCCCAGGAGCTTTGGCTACATATTTGTTTCTCAAATTTTGGCCTGAAAAACAATGGCAAACATGATGAAAGAAAAGAAAAACAACTTTTTACTACTAATTACCAAGTTAGTCTCGGAATCTCAATTCCTTCTATGGTGACGAAACTCTCAGATTTTGTTTAATATTTCTTTCCTTTTTTGTTTAATCTTGATGTTGCTCAAGTTTTTGTTTTGAGTATACCTGAATCTTTTCCTTTCCATTAGATATGCAAGTTTGCGAAGAAAGCTATTGGTTGATCCACATATGCCAAAGGATGGAAGTAATTCTCCTAATGTTGTTATTGACAATCCACTATCCCAGAACCCTGGTAAAGATTCTTTATGTATTTCAGTATTTGTCTATTTAAAGGTGTATCAGAACAAGTGTTCCAAATTCAAAGAACTAGTTAACAATACAATACTATGTTGTTTATCCATATTCTGTTAGCTGACGATTGCTTCGTCTCCCAACATTATTGGGGATTTTTTTTATCTTCTGTAAATTAGTTTCACATTCCTTCTCCCAAAAATTTGCGAAGTGTTTTAGTTTGACCACTGCTTTTGGTTTAAGATTTTGTGAATGTTGGCTGTTTGGGGTAATAAATGCTGGCCAGTTTTGTTATAACTCTGTTAATCATCTGCATTGACATTTTTATTTTTTTAATCATGTTATAAATTGATAATGCAGATAGCACCTGGGGGCGTTTCTTTCGGAATGCTGAACTGGAAAAAACAGTTGACCAGGATCTTTCACGTTTATATCCAGAACATGGGAGTTATTTTCAGACACCTGGATGTCAAGGAATGTTGAGGCGCATTCTATTGATGTGGTGCCTCAGGCATCCCGAGTGTGGTTATAGACAAGGTATCTTAAACTTACAGAGACATTCTATTTTGTTGCTGTTTGCTGGCTTGCATAGTATTTCTCTTTCCTATGCATTACTGCTACCGAACCTTTTTGTACCGCTTTCTCAATTTATTGCGCTTATTTTGGCCACAAGAAGATATCAGAATGCAATTTTCGTCCTTTTTAATTTAAGACCAGGTGTATTGGAATGCTTCAAAATTCTAGTTCTCTCTCCTCTTTGTTATTATTTAACCATGTAGCTGAAGTAGAAATGACTACTATTCTTGATTTAACTTTTTTTGAAGGTCAAAGGCAACCATCTTTGTTGTTACCCACTTCAAGTCATTGATCTCTGTTCGTACTTGTCTTTAGCTTGCATCTGTCTTGTGGAAGTTGTTGATAGAAAGATGTAGACTTCTATGTTGTATTAGTTTTGTTAATTTTTTTTTTTTTTTTTTTTTTTGTCTCCATAGGAATGCATGAGCTTTTGGCTCCTCTGTTATATGTTCTTCATGTCGACGTGAAACGTCTCTGTGAAGTGCGAACGCAGTATGAAGACTACTTTACAGACAAGTTTGATGGCATATCTCATGGAGACAACCTCTCCTACAATTTTGATTTCAAAAAAATAATGGACAGCATGGAAGAGGAGAATGACATCCGAGGGAATACTGTTAAAGTTACAAGTCTTGAGGAGCTTGATACCGAGATTCAGACAATTATATATCTCAGTGATGCTTATGGCGCAGAGGGTGAACTGGGAATTGTTTTGTCTGAGAAGTTTATGGAACATGATGCCTACTGCATGTTTGATGCTTTGATGAGTGGGGCTCAAGGTTCAGTCGCAATAACTGATTTCTTCTCCATTTCCCCTGTGGGCGGATCCTTCTCTGGCTTACCTCCTGTCATTGAAGCTTCCACGGCACTCTACCATTTGCTCTCTGTAGTTGATTCATCTTTGCACAGTCATCTTGTGGAGCTCGGTGTTGAACCACAATACTTTTCACTCCGTTGGTTGAGAGTTTTATTTGGAAGAGAATTTGCCCTTGAAGATCTCTTGTTAATATGGGATGAAATATTTGCAGCCGATAATAAAAAGCTGTGCAGTAGTGCTGGTGGAGAAGAAACCTTGTGCTTTAATGTGTTCAGCTCTTCTCGGGGAGCATTGATTTCAGGTATGGCAGTTGCAATGATACTTCATTTGAGATCTTCCTTGCTTGCTACAGAGAATGCTACTACATGTCTCCAAAGACTGCTGAATTTTCCTGAGAGTGTAGACCTCGTAAAACTGATAGAAAAAGCCAAGTCCTTACAGTCCCTTGCTTTGGATTTCCATCTTATATGCCCCTCCCCTTCGTTCGGTGTGGATTACACTCATACTAAACCCAAAGTGATCAGAAGCCACACTCTTTCATCTGACTCTCTATCTTCAGTAACTCCTTTGAACAAGGTGCCAGACAGCTATTGGGAGGATAAATGGAGAGTTCTGCACAAAGCAGATGAAGTCAAGCATAACAGTCTGGCAAAGCAAAACAAAACCCTAACCCAGAAAAAGGGCTGGTCAGAGAAGCTGAGGATCACTCTATCTAGAACTGAATCGGATCCATCTCCAACAAAAGCCGAGAGTCACAAGAAGGGGCAACATAAGTCTTCTGTCAGACGGAGTCTGCTTAAAGATTTGTCCAAGGAACTGTGCATGGAAGAAGATGATGTGAATGTGGTCCACATCACTGTTCCAAACCAGAAGGAATGTCAACATGCAGAAATCGAGGCTGAAAATAGTGTCAATGTAAATTTAAATTGTTCAACCGAGGAGAGATGCTTGGGAGACAATATTTGCAGCGAGGAAAACTCACCTGCTTTCTCAGACCCATCTAGTCCTCACAGTGGTGCAAATAATCAAGAGAACGGCTCAGAGAAAAGTAGTGTTGGCTCAAATTCATCGATTGATGGAAATGATGTTCATCCAGGGGATGTTTCAGTAGTCCTTCCTGTGTCACTCCTTCCTGCTGAGATCACTCTCGATTCTGGGAGTAAAAATGAGCGCACAGAAAAACCATTGACTGGAACTAAGAAACTTCTTTCGAGTAAACTTCAGTGGTTTTGGAAGTTTGGACGGGGCTCCACTGGTGAAGATGCATCAGAGAAGGGACAGGAGAGGGCTGGTGCTGTGAAGCCTGCTGCTGATGCAAATGCAGAGGATGATGTGCTAGGTGCTTCTTCAGCCGATGCATCTTTTCACTCTTATTCTAGTGCAAGAGGTGATGTTGTAGACCAAAATGTGATGGGTACTCTGAGAAACCTTGGGCAGTCTATGCTTGAACATATTCAGGTAATGTTAGTTTCTCTCGTAGTGCTCAATTTGGTTGCACCTTCACTGGAGTGCCCTTTTGGTACATTTTTCATCCCTGAAGCAAAAGAGATGCTTTGCATTTATTCTCCACAACTTGATTTCATGCATACTTTTTTGCTTGGCATGGGATTTTAAGTGAGGAAAGTGACACATTGGTGATATGTGCAGGTAATTGAGTCTACTTTCCAGCAAGATCGAGGTCATTTTGGGTCAGCGGAGAGTTCTTCGAGAAATGGTTTGGTTGGTAAAGGACAAGAAACGGCAGTGGCTGCTCTGAAGGAACTTAGGAAGATTAGCAATCTTCTGTCTGAGATGTGAGAGCTGAGCATTAGTATACGAATGTTACATAAGACCTGTATATATATCTTGTAACTACACCCCTATTGTTTCAGTGCAGCAATAAAGCGAGTTTGTAGGTCTGGCTTGTCGTCCCCTCATGTAATTTTGCTTTATTGTGTAATGCATTGACACTCAACTCTGAAAGCAATTCTGTTTTATATATTTTAACGCATTGCTGGGCTTCCATGGATATTGCAGAGACGAAAACTCGGGGAAAGTTAGCATCCCCTTAACTTTAAAGGACCAGGAGTGGGGATTTGATCATTTGTGCAAAAACTTCAAAATTAGGGCACATCACGATTCCATGACAGGACTGCAATCAAAACAGTAATGTACATTGCACTTCATTTCTCTGTTTCACGACTACTGCTCAGCAGTTTCAGCTTCTCTGTGTAGGCCTCCCCCATTGTTTTGTGCAACACAATGCTGGGAGCTAGTCTATAAATTATTTTGGCCAAAGAGAAACAAAGGAAAGGGGGCAAGAAAAGAAGATAATCCCTTCTCCCCGTTAAAGACTGTCTCACTTACAGCCGATGATTTGCTTGGTCAGGTCTTCAATCTATATTATGAAAGCCAGGGAGAAGAGAAGTGATGAAGCCAAACACAATCATCTGAACTTCTTTCACAATGCCCCACCAAGGATTGCCTCCATCACCACCCTCCACATTCTCGTTCTCAGCCCTCTGGTTACCATCTACTCCAGCCCGATTCTCCTCCTCACCGTCTCCTTCTGCATCAGCAACATTGCATTCTGTCAGTTCAGTTCTTCCCAGAAGCATCGTAAAAGGACAAATGCAATTTCCATAAAGCCAGGACAAAGTTAAGATCCAAGTTACAATTTATTTAACCAACCAAACCTCTCCCTAAGTTGCTTAGCCCCAAAGTTCAATTTCCCAAGTAAGCTAGTTCCACTATCTCTTCGGACATGTTCAACTCTTAAGAATATGGTAACAACCAACATGTTACCTGCTTAGGCTGTGTAAAGGAATCGTATGTTACCTGCTAAAGGTGCATTCTCGTTCAGCCTAGCAGCAGGAGCATTTTCAGCCCTGGCAGCAGCCTGAGGTCGTCGAGGGGGTGCTGCTGCTCTCTGCATACTATGTGACAGCCATCTCACCAGTGGTGTCAGAGCTCCTGTTTGATATCTGTTAAATAATAGAAATGTGAAGTTCCAATAATTTTGTGGGGAGAAAACACTGGATCAGACATCAATGTTAGTTCTAATTTCAGCTGCACTAAGTTGTAAGATAATTCCTAAGGGTTCGATACATAATGTAACTTAGACTGAACGAACAAAAGATTAGATACTCACAAATAAACAAGTGAGGCGAAAAGCACAAGGACAATGAGCCTTTGTCTTGATCCATCTTGGTTGAACAAGAATATCACAGCAGCTAGCTTAAGGATTAGGAACAAGTCCAGCTGAAACGCGATCTGAAATCTCCTTACTGCAACTTGTCTATGAGGTGCATGGGCCTGCTGTTGATGTTGGGGTTGTTGCCCGACCGGTCCATGATCACCTGCAGAACCTGCTTCAGGAGGCGGTGTGCTGTTGGGAGGACAAAAGAAAAATCCATTTCAGCATGCAGATCAACATGATTAAAATGAACCAAGCACGAATTTTGGTATTGCGGAATGTACAAGAGGCGACGCAAGCTATTTCCTACTGGGAACAGACAAAAAGAGCCACTGAAAGCCTAATCAAGAAACAGTATGCGGCAGAGACTTACACATAACTCAAGGTGGAAGACCTAGGCAGCAGATGTCTTAATCCAAACATTCATTCATATCTAAGATAAAACCTACGTTTGACATAAATTTAGACATCATTTTAGACCTGGACATTTCAAAGTTCAAAAGTTGAAACCTTTGCAAAAGATTTATGTTGCGTTATGCACCATGGAGCTTGAAATCTACAATGTCGGACACATTAGCAGATAGCTGAATATCTCTCAGCCAGTCAAAATCCATCAAACCAGTCATTTAACTTGTGAGCAGCAACAACGGAACAAGTTCTTCTCACATATTTCCTGACATTAACAAGTTCTTCTCACATATCTTTCACCAACATTGCATTACATCTACTATTATGGTTTCAGACTGCGAAGCTGTGCAGAGACTGGGCCGTGAAAGAAGTATAGGTCAGGGACATAACAACATTCCTACAGGTAAACTAATTTAACAGTATGATACTCAGGCGTTATAACAGTGGCATACTTACGTTGGTATAGAGAAGGTAAGAGGAATAAGGGTATTCGCCGGGAGTCCTGCAATCGGTCCATTGAAAGGTGGCACCGGGACTGCATAGATCCCAGCCCCGCCAGTAATCTGTTGCTGGTTGGGAAACGAAGTTACCCCGGGAACTATTGTAGGGTACAGGACTGGGAACATTTGAAGGTGAGCATTTGGATAGGCCGGGAAACCAGAGAACTTGGGTTCCTACAGTATGTATAGCTATTAGTTATGAAATCAAGAAGCGAGAATACCAAAGCAGATCTATGACAGGAAATTTATCAATGAAAATCAAATCAACGCAGAGATAAACAGCGAATTCCCAGATCACGACACAGGATAGCTACCGGGAATTGCTTGAGGTTTTCGTGAGCCGAAAAATCAGCAGCCGTGTGATCGGAGCTCGACGAAGTCTCGGCCGGTTCAGCCATTGGCAAGCGAAAAAGTTACGTGCACTCTCCCGCTTACTGAGACAAAAAAAAAAAAAATGGACGTCTTCCCTTCTCTCCGACGGTCCGACCCCTTGGTTGACGGGAGATCGAAGAAAAACGTAGGTGTCGCTGCAATTTCTCTCTCCGTTTCCTCTTTGGCTATTTTTTATTTGGGATAATGATGCAAAAACTCAACGTCGGACCAACGGGTGAAAGCCACGTATCTCATGGAAGGCTGATAAGAGACCCATTGAGGGGCTTTCCTGCCTTGGTTAGGTTGGAGCCCATTTCGGCAGAAGCTGTCCAGTTCTGTTTCGCAGCTCATTTAAGTTTTATGGGCTGAAGCCTCATTAAACAAAAGGCCTGTGTTTCTGATTCCGTTAAAGTGCCACATCATTTTTTTTTTATAATTAAATCAAAATGGCATTAATAACAGGGATACCTTTAGCAAATTGCTAAGGCTCCTCTCGAGGCAAAAACTGTCTGTACATAGACTTCCATCACAAGGAAACAGAAAAACAAAATTCAACTACCCCAACCCCCTCGACTCTAAACAGTTGAATAAAGCCGGGTCTAATTGGCACCTACACCGAAGAATCTTTTTCGCCTCATCACAAAGCTGAATCGGATCCCTGGCAAGCCTATCTCCATACATTCTTGAGCACCGTTCCCTCCAGACAAGGCTTAACACAACACACCATACCATCCTATTCAAGCTCACTGCAACTCCCTTACCCTGCCATTTTGACACACACCAATCCAGAACTGATTGCCAGTCAACCAACTCTGAAGGAGGACCTGCACACTTCAAAAGAGAAGACATCATACATCTGACAAAAGAACAACTCACAAACAGGTGGGATCGTGATTCAATACCCCCCTGGACAAAGGTAACACAAACCCGATAGGTGTTTCCCCCACTCAATCAACTTATCCTGCGTTTTCAACCTGTCATGTATGATGAGCCATAGTATGAATCCATGACGAGGCACAATATGCTTTCCCCAGACAAACTCAACCCATGGAACACGAGCCCCATGCTGCCTTACCGAGTTCCAGACCTTACTAACCGAGTAAACCTTCATTATCTCACCATCCCATGTCGGGACATCCCCAATCTGCTCAATAAATGGTCTGGCCATTTCGCGACACTTCAAAATTCGCCTCCAAATCCAAGAACCAGCAGCTGACTCTTTAATATCCCAAATAGAGGATTGCTTAACCCTGTATCGCAGAACCCAGGCCACCCATAGTGAACCCTCCTCAGCTAGAATGGGCCAAAAATGCCTTAGCACACACACTTTATTCCAGAGCGCAAAATCTCGAATTCCTAGCCCTCCCTCTGTTTTTGGACGAGCCAAAAATTTCCAGGATGTAACTGCTTTCTTCCTAACAGAGTCATCAACATCCCACAGGAACCTATTGCATACCAATTCAACTTCCTTTATAGCATATTGGGGCAGCAAGAATACACCCATCCAGAACTGTAACATACTAGTCAATACCGAAGTGATTAATTGCAGCCTACCAGCAAAACTTAGTGTTTTTGCTCTCCAACTTCGAACCCTGGTAGTTATCTTATCCACTAACACTTTGCATTCAGCTCTAGACAACTTCCCTGTGATTAAGGGAACTCCCAGATAACGGACTGGAAGATTACCCAATGGAAACTTAGAAATCAATGATATGAACTGCTGTTCCTCCTTAGAAATCCCTCCACAAAATAGCTGACATTTTTCAGGGTTGCATTTTAATCCTGAAACCACATAGAATGCATCCAGTACACGACATATCCCAGCCACACCCCGCACAGACCCATTAGTAAACACCAGCAAATCATCAGCAAAACACAAATGTGTTATAGCTAATGGTTTACAACGAGGGTGGTAAGGAACTTGATTCTACTTTACTGCTAACTTCCACATAGCATCTAATACTTCCATGGCCACTGTGAACAAGTAGGGGGACAATGGATCCCCTTGACGAAGCCCACGCTTCATAGCAAAAACACCACAAGACCCCCCATTCAAGCCTACACTGATCCTTGAACAGCAAATACAAGCTTTAAGCCAACTTATGAATTGAGCAGGGAACCCCATTACTTCAAGAACAGTAAATAAAAACGACCAGTCAACTGAATCAAACGCCTTCATAATGTCGATTTTTACAGCACAACGAGGAGTAACATTCTTTCGATGATAATCCTTAACCAATTCTGAAGCTAAAAGAATATTATCACAAATGGAACGACCTTTGATGAAAGCAGATTGAGAATTTGAGATCATACAAGGCAAGACTGTTGCCAACCTGTTGGCCAGAATCTTTGATATCCCTTTATAGATTGTGTTACAGCATGAGATCGGCTTGAAATCTTTCATACATTCTGCACTATGTATCTTTGCAACCAGAGTAAACAGGGTAGAGTTCAGAATAGATGGCATTATACCTGACTGAAAAACTCCCTAGCCACTTCCACCACCAAATCACCTATTAATCCCCAATGAAGACGATAGAATTCTGAAGGAAAACCATCTGGCCCCGGGGCCTTATCCCTACCAAGGTGTTTAAACACATTCCATATCTCCTCCCTAGTAACTGGAGCAATCAAACCCATAGACTCCTCATCTGAAATCCTCTTGAGAGATAACTGCTCATAGAAGCTAGAAGGCTGCATAATCACATCAGGGTTGACTTTCCCTATTAACTGCCTATAGAACTCAACAGCTACATTCCCCATTTCCTTTATGTTTGACACTTCCTGCCCTTGTGAATTTATAAGTCGAGTAATCTGCTGCCTGTGAGTGTGTATTTTGACAGAACGATGAAAGAACGAAGTGTTCATATCACCCTCCTGAACCCCTCTCATTCTGGCCTTTTTCTTATAGAAACTTTCCTCAGCCCTTTGCATTTCACGGTATTGCATAACAAGTCCCTTCTCCTTTTCCACCAATTCCTCAGTTGGATTGCCTAATAGTGACATCTGTACCTGCTCCAATTCCTGCTCCATGCCACGAACCTTAGAAGAAATATCAGAATAAACTTCCCGGTTGAGTTTCTTAAGCTTCAACTTCACCTGCCTCAAATTTTCATAGAATATGTAATATGGACGACCCTTGACAGTAGTATTCCAGGCTTCTGATACCAGATCAAAATAAGACGGGTGACTAGACCAGAATTTAAAATACTTGAATGGTTTTGGCATACTTCCCAACTGAGGCATTACTTGCAACAACAATCCACAATGATCAGACACCCCAGGAGCTGTAGTATTAGCAGTACTTGTGGGAAAAACTGAAAGCCAAGCCTCATTTACAAGGATCCTATCCAATCTCTTAGCTATTGGATTCTCTTTTTGCTTGTTCCACCATGTAAACCAAGCCCCCAAAACCTTGTGCTCAACCAATTTCATCTCATTTATCTAGGTCTGGAACTCAACCATGCTGGGATTCATAACATCAAGATTGGATGTCTCCCTTGGAGACAAAACTGCATTAAAATCTCCAAATACAACCATAGGTAGGCTGTCCTTATGTGAAAGCAGATCCTTATACAAAGCTGACCTCTCAACCTCCTTATTCGGACTATATACCACCATAAGCATAAATGGAATCACTCCCCAAACTTTCACCTTCAGAAAATGCTTGCCATCCTCAACTTTTGTTATCTTCAAACCCTCCTTCCAAAGTAACCAGACTCGACCATTAGGGGATTTGGGGTAGTTGTTCATGTTTTGCAACTGACTAAACTGTTTAGTAAGTATACCTACACTATTAGCTTCTGCTACTCTAGTCTCTATAATAGCTATTATATCCAAATGTAACCGACGAACTTTCTTTAGCACTGCAGAGTGCTTGTCAGGGGCATTAAACCCCCTGACATTCCAACACAGAATCTTCATTTACCACGTTTTCTCCCTCGACCTCTACCCTTCACAGGCGCAGGGGAGGGATCATCAACTTGCTTCGGACTAACACGACTTAATGATGGAAAGCTCGCCTCATCCACAGACAATTTCCCCGAAGAGCTACCAGAATAATTCCATGGACTCTTAATCGACCCAGGAGCAGGAGCTCTAACACGATTCTTTCTATTTGTAACCACCTGAAAACCATCCTCAATCGTAGCGATGACATCCTCCACAGAAACAGCAGGTGACTGACCAGACTTAAGTGATGCATCAACTCCAACAGTAGCAGTAGGCTGAGAAAAAACCTCAACAACAGCATTAGCACTAGAAGGTTCAGTAGCTTCCTCTAGTAATACACTTTTGCCTTTATCCTTGGAACACTGAGGCACCTCCAACACTCTTGGTTGCTTAACTACCCAAACTTGCTTCGTCCGCCCTCCAGGATTGGAACAGTCATGCCCAAAAACATTACACTTCACACATTTGCACGGAACATGACAGTACTCCACATCCACAAGCATTTCAGGTTTGCCATCCGGGGTAATGCTCAGTTTGTTGACCATATTCGATTTCACTGTCACCTCAATACAAACCTTGGCCATCTCAAGCCTTGTCCCCTGTTTCGTAGGGTAATCCATACAAAGCGGCTTACCCAAAGAGCTTGCTATCCGCCCTAACCCCTCCTTCGTAGTCATCTCAGAAGGCAAATTCGATAACCTGACCCATACTGGAACCACCGAGTTATCAATAGAAAGAGGCTGAATACCTGGCTCCCATTTACGCAGAAAAAGCATGTTCTCCTTATGGTGCCATGGCCCCCCTTCGAACACCCAACGACAAACCTCCGCCGTCGGAAATTGGAAGAGAACCAGAGATTCCCCCAACCAAGAAACCCTAATCGCCCCATCGCGCCCCCATATCCAATTCGCCCAGAAGTGAATAGATGACAGTGACGACGGCCGATCAAGGAATTGCCCAACGAGACAATTAACCCAGTTAGAACCCTCATCGACGGCTGGAATTCGCAGTGAACCGTTGACAAACTCCGGCTCGTAATAATCCAGCTTGAAATCAGGATTGATCGAAAATAGAGACGCCCAGGTGCGCCCGTCACCGACGGCACCTGAGGAGGCTTCGCCGGTGACGGTCGTCATCGGCAAGAACGGTTTACGATTCAGAGAGAACGGAAGCTTTTTTTTTTTGAAAGTACTATTTCTCACATCATTTTTTATTATTAAATTATTCATTAATTTTATATTTGAGTGTTTTATGTTTTAATAAATTAAATCAAAAAAATTAGTTGCACTTGCAAGTTAATTGCATTGATGTGATGCAATGCAAGTAAGATGAATTGGATTGAAGAAAATAAAGTAACAATAAAAAAAACAAATGCAATTACACCAATGGAGATGCTCTAAGGTAGAATAGTATGCTACTTCGCGCGGCTCTCTAGGGTTTTTGTTTCTGCTCTCCCGCGATGCTTCCTTTCTCACGCTTCGTTCTCGGCCACCGTTCAATTCCCTCTCTCCGCCACCGCCGCCGGCAACGGAGACTCCTGTCTATCTCCTCCTCGCCAAACGTTCCGCTCTCACACCCGACTTACATGATATGGGCGTCCAACACCTCCCTCGGCAAAACACTCGTCTCTACTGGTCTAGCTTCCTCCTTCCTTCTCTCCCGCTCCTCTTACGCCGAGCATCGCAAGCTCCTCTATCTCAAACCCGTTCAGACTGGATTCCCGGCCGACTCTGACTCCCATTTCGTCTTCTCCAGACTGTGCTCACTCGCTTCCCTGCGAAGCTCAGGAGGTCCTTCTCTCTCATTTTCCGCCTCCAATTCCGTTATCAAATCCTCTCTTCCGGCTGCTATTGCCCTCTCGGGCCGAAATTCCCTGCCCGGGGAACGAATTCCCGCGTTCTGCGATGTGAGCTTCCGCGAGGAAAGCAAATTTCTACGGACCGCGGGTACCTGTTCTGCCGAGTTAGTGTGTGAAACGTTATATGCATGGAAGGAAGCTGTTTCCCCGCACTTGGCCGCCGAGAGAGAGAATTGTGCGGTGCCGGATTCCTTACTGGTGGAGATGTTGGAGAAGCATTTGACGGCTTCTATGGAAGGGGTGTTTCAGAAGGAGAGTAAACAGGACTTCTGTATTGTTGAGACAGCTGGAGGTGTTGCAAGTCCTGGTCCGTCTGGAACCTTGCAATGCGATTTGTATAGGTACGTTATGCGTCACATTCATAAGGTTTTACCTTGGAACGATTTTTTGTGAACCTCGAGTCAATTATTTCTTCCTCTCATTATAATGATATGAATAATTTGTTCTTGTCTGTTTGTTATTGGAATTCATGCTCTGATCCTATGTAAAAGGTTGCCAACCTTTGATGTCGTAGTCAAACATTGTCGGCTGTTTGTGAAATCCCGATTATGATTTTAGCAAGACAATTATAAACCTTAGCCTATTCATGTTTAATTTTTGTTATGCTGTTTATGGGTATTCCTATAAATAGACAGCAGTAATTGGTGTTGACATTTGTGAACTGAAACAAAATGAGTCCAATCTTAATACATTCATCCTGCACCTCAGCTCATCAATAACGAGACCCCATACTTGTGAAACGGAATATATAGCCATCTCTGCCTTTGCAGAATTGTAGTTTGCATGTGGGGCCCTTTCTGTGAAGTATTTCATGTAAACTCTTGTGAGCTTTTGACTTATCTTGCCTGTCCATGTTCGGAATTATGAGAACTATCTTTCATTTATGGTCCGCATTGTGCTCATCTCTTAATTTATTTCTTCTAAAGGCCATTCCGTCTTCCTGGTGTTCTTGTCGGAGATGGGCGGCTTGGTGGCATATCTGGGACTATTTCAGCTTATGAGAGTCTGAAACTTCGAGGTTATGATATTGTTGCAGTGGTGTTTGAGGATCATGGACTTGTTAACGAGGTTCCATTACTATCATATTTCAGAAACAGGTATTTTGATATGGTTATGTTCTTGTTATTCCTTTCTTCTGCAGTAGTCACATTACTAAACCATACCTTTCTATCTATTAAAATGAACCATTCTGTTTCCTTCTTGGTTACTGCAGGGTGCCTATATTTGTGTTGCCGTCCATACCACTGGATATGTCAAATGACCTAGTGGACTGGTTTAACGATTCTGAAGCAGTATTCAATTCTCTTAGGGAAATAATGGTCTCAACATTTTCAGAAAGGATACAGAGATTGAATGACATGCCAAAGAAAGCAGGGGATATTTTATGGTGGCCATTTACTCAGCACAAGCTTGTACCTGAAGCCAGTATAACTGTTATCGATTCACGATGCGGGGAGAACTTTGCAGTTTATAAGGTAAAGGGTTTTCTAACGTCAATCCTCACATGCCATGTTCTGAACCAGAAATGTTGGAAGTCTATTTTTTATTCTGCTAATCATCAAAGATTTTCAGACCTTTTCTTCATCCTTTGTTTTTGAAACTACTTAAACCAAACTGTTTAATAAATTCCTTTTCTTTTGTTATTTTGTTACATAGCCACCCGCCCAAAAACATTGAATTGCTCCAGAAAACATTATTTCATTAATTGCCTACAGGACTACTGAACCAGTTGGAGTACTTCCTTTCCTTTTTTGATTTCACATTACCATCCCATCCTCACGTCCCTAGATCGAAATTAATTGTGGCTGATTGCATAGGGTTGTGATGTTGAGCTACTGTTAATAGCTTAGACTTAAAATTGATTGCTGTGTAGTTATTGGGAGTTGTTGGTAACCCAATTTCTGTTCGTGGTTGTACCTTTAGCTTTGTACTGAGGTCCGTGTTTGGTACAAGCTGACCATGAAGAGATATCCATTGTAGTTCTGTGTGTTGGAGTTAGTAACTTAATGGTGATTTGCTTGGTGGAAAGTTGACTAAGACTGGAATGATTATGATCCTTGTGATAAAGGTGAAAGCAAATGATATACGGAAGGACTGTTCTTGTCATGGCAGTGAATTGGATAGACAATCAAAGCAGTCTTGGGGTACTTTACTTGAATATTCGAAAGGAACAGCAACCTGTAGGATTACTCTCTGTGCGGTGCTCCTTTCATTTCTGTGATTTATTAGGTTCGCTAGTTGATTCTATTGTTGTATGACGTCTTTAATTTGATTCTAGGATAGAAAGGGTGGATCAATAACGCAGCAATTTGATGCATGTGCTAGCTGGTGGACTCAAGGGCCTGATGCTGCTCTACAGGTAATTTTCGTTGCATGCAACCTTCTCCTTTTTTCCAAGCTCAGGTTGATGTTTGTGGTGTTCAGCATCAACTTGTTACATGTGCAATTGCATATAGGTTTCGAACTGTTAACTTGCGTTTTTTACCTTCCATTTTCATTACCATGCTTTTTGCATGAAAGGGATGAACTTGCTGGTGACGGCTTTTGTATATGATAAAATAACTGTAGGTTCACTTACCTACTGTGCAGAAAGACCCTAGGAAGGTTGGAATCATTTATTCCTAGTTGGCCCAAGTCCATCTTGTTCTTCTTACCTGGGATGTTGCCATTTGCTGGTCACTTGGTCGCCATTATGTTCATCAAATACTTGAGTTCCTTAAAGTGGTTACTTGTCTAGGTGATTTCAGATTGAGCTTGCAAGAGAATTGGGCTATGCTGCTGGACGATTTGGTCATGTGATGTTCCCGGAGAATGTTTATGAGCCAGTATTAGAATGTGCAGAACTTCTGCTCGAGGGTGTAGGCAAAGGTTAACCATTTTTTCCGCTAATGGATTTTGATGTCGCCCCACACTACACAATAGACAGATAATCCTACTATCTTGTTCAGCTTTTTCCTATTGTAAGCTTCATATGCATGTCCACCAAGTTATAGAAACATTATCATTGTGTTCCCTGCTTATGACTTTTTATTTTTATTTTTGATGAGTGATTTGAGATTTTCACCCAACTCTTTACCACTTTGTCAACCCCTTGGTTTATATCCTTATGATGTTTTTCTTTCTTTCTAAATTTTGATAACTTAGTATCCTTGTGATGTTTTATGGGAATAAGAAATAGTTTAAGAAGCTCTCTATTGTTAAAGATAGACCTAGAGCCCTTGCATCCTATTGCTGAGTGTTAACTTGATGGCTACGTTCCACTTTATAAGGCTACTCAAGAGTCAACATTTAAAATGGGAGAAACGAATTCAAGCCTTGTCCTTTAGCTTATTTGAAACAGGCTGCCGTTGATCGAGCCAATCAAATTTGTGGAACACCTCTGTTCCTTGTCTCGGTTTCTTTCTTGCCCTTTTTCTTCTTTAAGTTTCCTGTGCCCAGTGCATATTCTCGATTCTTATTCCTATAGTAATTACCCAAAAATTTCTTGGTTTTTCAACTATATTCCAAGTGTCTGTTCTGTACTATGTCCATGAGTTTTACACTATTCTTTTGATATGAGCACGTGATGGGTAATCACTTGCATTGCGTGTTCTGCAGGTTGGGCTGCCAGGAGTTACTTTTCTGATAACGGGTCAACTGCGATTGAAATTGCCCTCAAAATGGCATTCCGCAAATTCTGTAATGAAAATGATGTGCTTCCTGTCAGGAGCAATACTGTTGGGAGATGCTTTGACCTGAAGGTATGTCAAATTTGTGCTGCTTCACTTCGATTTTTCTGAATATGCTTGGTTCATGTGAATTTGTGCACACGTCAGCTTGGTTAAGTTAATTTTTGAATCGCTCATAACTTCCATGTTTCTTTTTGGCAGGTATTAGCTCTTAATGGGTCTTACCACGGTGACACATTGGGTGCAATGGAAGCTCAAGCACCATCATCATATACGGCCTTCATCCAACAGCCATGGTATGCTGGTGCCAGCTTTTGTCACGAGGATGTTGAGTTTGGATTTATTTGATTTTATGACTAAATTCTTGGCCTTTGCATGGCAGTCTGGTATAGAACGAGAAGTATTAATCCTATTCCTATCTTAGATTTTCCATGTTATATCACGTTGCTGAAATCAAACTTATGTATTTCACTTTATGCATTACAATGCCTGGACTGGAGCATTGGTATTTTAGGAATATGCATTATGAAGCTATGTACTGTTATTTGTATGAGCGTGTTTTATAGCATACTTTTTTCCGCAGAACTTGGCACTTAATTTAGATGGGCTTGCTTCTGGTTTTGCAGGTACAGTGGAAGAGGTTTTTTTCTGGACCCTCCTACTGTTTCTATATGCAACAATATGTGGATTGTCTCTTTACCGGCTGGCATGCATTCAGGGGATCTGTATAATGTGGTGACAAGTAAGTGAACTTGCATCCCTCTAGTTCTATTTTCTGTAAATTTCATTGCTTTTAATGTTTACTTACCCGAAGTGACATATTATAGCCTACAGTTCCCGGGATGAAATATTTCACAAGAGCAGAGATAAGTCAGATCTTGCTCAGGCTTATTTGTCATACATATCAGAACAGTTGGTTTCGTTCTCAGATAAAGAACCATCAGTCCAGATTGGAGCCTTAATTGTAGAACCAGGCAAGTAATTATCATAACATATTTTCTTTATCCACTCTCTTGAAATTGTCTCCTCTCGTTCCCTACCACTTGGTCAATACTTCACGTTCACTTTGTTTGTGTTTGCGTTGTTACTTTGTCTTGATCCGACTATGCCAGCTTGAGTAGTTTGTTCAGCTTTCTGTTGGTTTTCCTTTTAGTTGAGTTCATTTTGAAAATCCGCAATTCTCTATTGTCTTTCTCGTTGTATTTGAAAATACTTTAACCTTTTTCTTTCGTATCTATTACTTCTCTACCAGACTTGACAGCCATAGACTGCTTATATAAATATTGGTCCTTCTGTTTCTACTACTGCTACTACTACTAAATCTTCAGCACTAGGAACTTGGTTGTGCCAACCTCTTCTTTCGGTGCCCTGTTATTTGTATGGTTCATTGTTGACAATGGTATCTGCATCTTTTTCTGATTTGTTTCTGTGGTTCCCTGCCAAATGGGCATGTGCTGCATCTTTAGTTATACAAGGAGCTGGAGGTATGCTTCTCATTGATCCACTTTTCCAACGGGTTCTAGTCAATGAATGCCGAGGGAAAAAGATTCCAATTATATTCGATGAAGTTTTTACTGGGTTCTGGCGTCTTGGTGTCGAGGTCAGTGCCACTTTTAAATAATACATCTTACTCTCTATGCTTGCCACAAATTCAACAGGTGTACCAAACTTTTTTTTTATGTAAATGTCCCGAACTTCCTTCAATACATAATTTTTATTTATTTTCAAAGACTGCAGCAGAACTACTTGGATGTGTACCTGACATAGCCTGCTTCGCAAAGCTGATGACTGGTGGTGTTATACCGCTGGCTGCTACATTGGCCACAGAAGCAGTTTTTGATTTGTTCACTGGTGACTCAAAAGTAATGCATAGTATATCTTTCCATCATATTGGCCACAGAAGTAGTTTCTGCTATCTGCAGTCTGGAAATTTCACTTGATGCGATTGATGCTTGATTGTGTAGCTGAATGCCCTCTTGCACGGACACTCTTACTCTGCACATGCAATGGGGTGCACTGCTGCTACTAAAGCGATCAAATGGTTTAAAGATCCCAAGTCTAATGCTAATATCCTTTCTGAAGGAGGGTTGCTTAAGGAGGTATGTGATGGGTTTAGTAATGTGCTTGTGTTTTTGTTGGTCGTTTCTCTCGTACCTTTGTGCATAAGGTTTCTTTAGTTAGTGAGCTTTTTCTTTTTCTATGCATGCAGTTGTGGGACCCAGAGCTGGTAGCACGGATATCTTCCCATCATTCAGTCCAAAGAGTGGTTGCATTAGGGACGGTATTTGTTGTAGAACTACGAGCTGAAGGGAACAATGCAGGGTATGTTGCTTTTTGCTTACATGTGTCGGGAGTCTCTCATTAACGCCATTTCTGCAATATGAACACATTGGCAAGCAACCCACAAAATGGGATTTAAGTTTGTTGGTTGTTTTGTTCTTGCTGATGTAGCACTTGATGCCTTTTCTGCATGTCAGGTATGCTTCAACATATACAAGAGGACTTATTATGAAGTTGCGGGAAGATGGGGTGTACATGAGGCCACTGGGCAACGTCATCTATCTAATGTGTACACCTTTAACGTTGCCTAGTACCTGCAGGGGGTTGCTTGTCAAACTTCTCAGGAGACTGCAACAGTTCGGCGAACCCTCGAGTTAAATACTATCGGTACGTTGGGAACTCTTTGTATGTGTCTCCTTGTATGTCTTGCTTGATATCTGGAAGGCACAGCTTCCATTTCTATGGTTGTGGAAGTTAATTAGTGGCGCTGGCTACTACTACGAACTTGATAACTTGAATACATCTTTCTCTTTTCCCCCATTTTGTTACAAAATAAGTAGGGATGACAATTTCGACCTGATCCGTTTTACCCGACCTGTTTGGCATGTTTTGGGACGGGTCCGACTCGCCTCGTAGGCAGGGCGGGGCGGACATGGTACTCTCATCGATCCGACCTGTCCTGACCCGCCCCATTCACGACCCGTTCTTGTCTAAATTACATGTAAGTTTAGTCAAACTACTTAGAATTTTCCTTTTATTACATCATATTTTAGTTATAATAAAGTTGTAAATTAGACAAAAACTCAATTTATTCAATAATTTAACTACATTTATCATAATATTGTTTATTTCTTTGGTCTTATAATAAAAAAAACGCATATTTCTAATGTTTTTCATATAAATTGCATACCCATTGGGTCGGGGCGGGTCTGGGTACCAAGAAACCCGCCCCGGACCTGCCCATTGCCATTCCTAAAAATAAGGCACTTCCTTTTGTAACTATGAGTCACTGCTATATCAAAAGTTTAAGTTGTTGCATTATGTTAGTTTAGAGATGGAGGAAACTTGGTTCCATTTACCAAGAAAGAAAAGGAGATGGAGGAAACGTCCATAACTCTCCATTAATTGAAGCACGAAATGGGTATACTGTCACAAAACCTTGACTAACAGAATGTCGCAATTAGGGATGGCAATGGGTCGGGTTTTGCCAAACCCAAACCCAAATTCATGGGTTTATCCGTGAAAAAAACCCGGGGTAAAACCCATTGGGTTTGAAAAACTCAAACCCAACCCAACCTGCTGGGTATCCGTGGGTTCATGGGTACCCACGGGTTTTTGTCGTAAAAAATTTACAATAACAAATTTCTATCAAAATTAAAGTTAAATATCAATCTCTCAATACAAATTATCCATATATAAAACACCATTATAGAAAATTCAAGCAAATCACAAATTAACTATACAAATTGTTCAACACCAATCTAGAAAACTCAATAAAATTGAAGCAAGTCACAAATTATCCATAAATAACATGATTAATTGAAAGCTTCTTCCTTTCAATTAAGTTTCTTCACTCTCCACTCGATGACATCAACTTCATTCTACACAATTAGAAAAAAAAAAATAGACATGTCTCCACAAACTAAGATTAGTTGTTTAGAATATTAGATATACGAGAAAATTAACTATATGAGTGTGGGCGGGTACCCATGGATCGGGTTACCTAAACCCAAACCCAACCCAACCCGGTGAATAGTGAACGGGTTTAAACCCAAACCCGGCCCAAAACCCGTCAACACGGATTTTACCCGCGTTGACCGGGTTGGGTCGGGTGGATACCCGTGGGTTTGGGTTTTGTTGCCATCCCTAGTCGCAATAAAACATATATTGTGATATAGAGATAGATATCGCATTTAAACGTTTATATCGCGATAAAATTACCCTTTTCTAACACGAGTATCGCGACATATACTAATATATCACTATGATATCAATATATCACGAAATATTATTTAATATCGCTATAACTATCTATTTATCGCGAAAATGCTAAGAAAATATTGCGATACATCTAAAATATCGTGATATCGCGAGTGAAACTCGTTATGGACGACTGAAACTTTGAAACGCGAAACGTTTGGAGTTCTCGAAATTGAAAAAGAATCGTGATAAAATGGCGGAAAATTAAAATTGACGATAGTTTCAAATATCTTGATATTAAGGTATATTTTAATGCTATTTTATTTTTGCGATATTTATCCTTGATCCCGGTAAGGAAATACCGGAAGTTGGCCCAATATAGGAGAAAGCTATAAAATAGATGAGCGACGATTGCGAGAACGTACATGAGAAGAAATGGAGAAGAATCGAAGAAAAAGATAGTAGGAAAAAAAAACGAAACTCAAATTTTTTTTTATCAAAGGAAGGCAGTGCCCCCTATCAATTTATTAAGATACTCCTGGGCTCTGAAAGGCCCTGCCCATCATACAAAATCAAGTGACTCAGACAGCTAGGATCGATCGGTATACAATGGAGTTCAATATCAAGGGTATGTCCCAAGTTGGCCAAAAAGTCTGCACATTTATTTCCTTCCCTGTAGATATGTATGATATCAACGTCCCACTGCCTCGAGAGCAGCTCTTGAGCTTTGCTCAGCACCCCAGCTTGAGCGTGGTCTCTGTAATTCTTATCCTGGAGAAGATGGACTGCCACCTGAGAATCAAGTTGGAGCTGAACTTTGCGGTATCCATCATCCCAAGCCGCTTGAAGTCCCATAACAGCTCCACGGAGCTCAGCTGTAGTGATAGAACATATTCCCAAATTGCAGGCAAAAGCTCCCAAGCAACGACCACCGTGATCTCTGAGTAAACCTCCTGCAAACGCGACGCCTGAATTCTGCAGAACAGATCCATCGCAATTGATAGCGATCCATTGTCGGGGAGGGGGAGTCCATGCTATCTCGGCAGTCTTTTGCGGTGGGGCGGGAGTGTGATGCAGGGCTTGATCCTTTTCCATAGCACTTCTGATAACCACGAGCCACTCATTGATCCGTCTCATGAAGCCATCCTTGGTAGTTGCCTTACCCTTGAAAACCCGTTCATTACGAGCCTTCCAGAACGCCCAGCAGGTAGCCCCGAAGCGCAGGCTGAACTCAGGTTTGCTGAGGTTATCCTCCTGCCACTCATTGCATTCAGCGGCGAAGAAAGCAGGTTGATTTCCTGGTTCAATAGTGTCGCACCACACTTGCCTCGCTAATCCACAGTCCCTAATTACATGAACCACTGATTCAACTTCATCCTCACAATTGCTGCACTTGTCCGAGTTGGAGAGATGTCTGCGTTTCCTCTCAGAATTTGTCAGAAGCCTGCCTCTAGTAGCAAGCCAGAGAAAGTAGCGAATCTTGGCAGGTCCTTGCCATTTCCAGACAGTCTTCCAATTGCCCTGCTGGGGATTCGCCACATAACTGGAAGCAATGTCATAAGCTGTACGGATCCTAAACCGTCCATCTGATTCAGGTCCCCAGATTGGGAGATCCTCCCCTGCATCCGGCCGGGGTGGTTGGACACCAGCAATTCTGAGCACCATCTCTTCCGGTAGGAAATTTCTCATCCTCTCTAGGTCCCAATCCCCACTTGATTGAACAAAGCTAGCCACACATTGATCCTCTTCCAGCTCATCGGAATGAGGTAGAACATGATCAGCAAGACATTCTCCATTTCCCAGCCATCGGTCCGTAAAGAAGGAAGTAGATTTGCCATCTTTGATAGCCAATTCCATGCCTGCCGTCATAACTGGCCATGCGCGTTGCATTCCCCGCTAAAGGTTGGATTGTCTTGATGATGTTTTAGACCTCAAGTTGCCCTCTCTCATTTTGAAGTATTTTGACTGCAGTACCTGAACCCAAAGCTCTTCCGGGTTCTTTAGAAAGCGCCAGTTCAGCTTTGTGAGGTAAGCTAAGTTGAGCTCGTGAGCTTTCCGAAGTCCCAGTCCGCCATCTTCTTTCTTTCTGCAAATTCCCTCCCAATGAACCAGGTGAATTTTCCTCGCTTCTGTGGTAGATCCCCAAATAAATCCTCTGATCCGCTTATCAATTTCGTCGCATATAGAGATAGGTAGCAGCGTTGCCTGCATAGCATAGATCGGAAGAGAGCACAAAACTGAAATGGCTAGAGTGACTCTTCCCCCAAGAGTTAAGTTTTTAGCTTTCCAACCTGAGAGCTTAGAATTGATTCTGTCCAGGATGTATCGATAAGTGTCCTTCGTGACTCGTCCGTGAAGCACTGGGACACCCAGATATCTTCCAAGGTCCTGAGTAGCTGGCATTCCCAATATACTTGTTGTGCTAGAGCTGATGGTGCGGTTGGTATTCTTTGCGAAAAATACCACAGATTTCTCCCTACTGACAAGTTGTCCAGAGGCTTGGCAAAAGGTGTCGAGACACTTCATGATCACTGCAGCTTGATCCGCGCTAGCTTCGACAAATAGGATCAAGTCATCAGCGAAGAAGATATGAGACAATTGAGGTCCCCCAGGGTTTAGGCGGATTGGTTTCCATTTTCCCTGATCAATGGACTCTCGAATTAGGTGGCTGAGCTTTTCCAAGCAAAGAGTGAATAGATAGGGTGACAACGGGCAGCCCTGTCTAAGCCCTCTAGAAGGTTTGAATTCTTCAGTATTCTGACCATTCCAGAGAACCTGCATTGTTGGTGAGGTAATACATGCCATAATAGCATCAATAAACTTCCTCGGCAAACCTATCTCAGTGATCACCTCCTTGACAAAATTCCAACTCAATCTATCATAGGCTTTAGTTAGGTCGATCTTTAGAGCCATCTGCCCTTTTCTCCCCTTCTTCAGCCCCATGGAGTGGACTACTTCTTGCACTATGATAATATTATCCGATATGTGTCTGCCAGGTACAAAGCTTGTTTGCGTCGGGTGAACCAGATTCCCCATCAGGGGTTTGATCCGGTTGACCAAACACTTCGCCAAGGTTTTGTAAGCCACATTAGAAAGTCCAATGGGTCGAAACTGTAGAAAGGATTCAGGAGCCTCTTTTTTGGGAATAAGGACAAATAAAGTTTCATTTACCTGAGAAATGAGTTCAGGTTCTCTAAAGCATTCCTCCACGAGGTTCACAAGACTATCCCCCACTGTATCCCAACAACGCTTGTAGAATATCGGTTGATAACCATCCTTCCCCGGAGCTTTTAGGTTTCCCATGCTCTTGACTGCTTGTATGATCTTCTCTCTATCAATTGGGCGTTCGAGTCCAGTACAGGAAGAAACAGACAAGGCCGCGAAGCCTTTGGGAAGCCATGGGGAGACTCCCAATTCAATTTGGTAAAGAGATTTGAAAAAGGAGACCGCCATTTCTCTCAGTTCCGTCTCGTCAAAGGTCCACTGTCCTTCACTGTTCTTCAACCCCAAAATGCGATTGAAGCGTCGACGTTTCAGGGTCGACAGGTGGAAAAATCTTGTATTGCGATCCCCTTCCACAATCCAAGTAGCTCTAGATTTCTGGAGCCAAAACACTTGTTCTTGCCAGAGCGTTGATTCTAGTTCCCTGCGGGTTTCCTCTTCGGCGCGACGCGGCGCGACTTCTCGGTGGGGGACGTTTCATTTTCCATCTCGATTTGACGAAGTCGACGCGCTAGTCGCCTTTTCCGTTGTAGAATGTGTCCGAAAACCCTTCGATTCCACACCTGCAGAGCCCTGGTAAGCTTGCCTAGAGAGGTCGGTAACCTATCAGATTGGTTCCAGTTCTCCTCCATGACCCGGTGGAAATCCTCATGGAAATGCCAAGCAGCTTGGAAACGATAAGGTCGAGGAGTTTTGTTGTTGTTGGCAGCCCCCTCAGCTTGGATTAAAATCGGCCTGTGGTCTGATCCAATTCTCTCAAGGTGGGTGTTAGTAGTTTTCGGGAACTTAAGAAGCCATTTCTTGTTGCACAGGGCCCAATCCAGTCTTTGTTGAAGAAGCCCCCGACGCCAAGTAAAGCGAGGCCCAGAGAAGCCCATATCGAACAATTCACAACTGTCAACACAATTCCTGAAAGCCGTGCTGCGAGATTCATTGTAATCAGCCCCCCCTTTACGATCTCTGGGCCCTAGGATTGAGTTGAAATCACCAGCAAGAAGCCAAGGTAGCTTTATGTTCCTAGCCAGTCTATAGATCTCTGACCACAAATCTGCCCTTCGCGCCGCTGTCGGGCTGCCATAACACGCAGAAATCAGAACTGCTTGATTTGATCCATCCCTTTTCTCACACTGAAAATGGATCATTTGTTCCCACACAGAGATGGGCGAGATTTTTAAATCTTGCTCTTGCCAGAGAACCCAAATGCCACCAGCAAACCCGATGGCTTCCGTAACTAGCACACCATCGAAACCCATTCTAGCAATGACCTGTTCTGCAGCAGCACCACTGATTTTGGGCTCGATAATAATTAGAATATCCGGCCTAGTAGGCCTATAAAAAGACTCCAAAGTAGATAAAAACACATCCTTACCTGCCCCCTGGTAGTTCCACGCAAGAACACTTAACATGGAGAAGTGTTGGAAGGTGAAACATACCCCGCCCGTCAGTCGAGCTGACATCAAGAGCCGGTACTTGGGGTTTTAAAACCCCCCTCCCCCGTAGGGGTCGTGTCATTGTTACCAGGAAGTGAAATTGTGCAAGACTGCTTCACCCCAACTAGAGTTGCTTCCTCTTTGTTCTCTTTTCCGCCAGGCACAACGCCTGCACGATTCACCAGATTCTCCGATGTAGCCGTACCCTTCCCATTCTTCTTCAGACCTTTCTGGTCTACAGCTGTTTTCATTTGGCTTTTCTTTGTGACCCCTTTGCTGGCGTGCATGGCAGTGTTAGGGACCACTTTGACATTTTGAGATTTAGTCGACAGGGCCATCCCCTGCTTGATAGGGACATCAACAAGGCCTGTCTGCTGTGGTGGGTCCACTAACATTTGAGTTGGTAGAGTTTGTATCCCGCCTTGGTCATCTAGAGCCTCTCTTGTATCAATAGTGTCTGCAATGTCAGTTGGTGCTTCTGTGTCTTTCGCCAGTCCATCCTCGGCTTCCTCCACTACTAGACTTTCAAACCTTGAGCCCGAACTAGCCTTGCCCGCTGGAGTTTCCACCACACTGTTAACCTGCTGAGCTTTGGGGTTCTTATACCTCTCTGCAGAGTTGCCTTGCTTTCTATTATTTTTTTCTTTGGGCTTAGCTATCATCCAGTCGCCATACAGTGGTTGTGATGCTTCCGTCGTATTCGCAACTTGGGGTTCTTCTACCATGGGGGCTGGTGTCTTCAGGAGCAAAGGGCAGGTCTTGCTCGAGTGGCCATACAGGCCGCATTCGCCACAAATCGTATGGAGTCCTTCGAACTCAATGTAGTACGTTTTTCCCTCAATCTTATATTGCGAGAGTAGGGGCTTCGTTAGATCAACCTCCACGCTGACTCTTGCAAAACGACCGATAGCACACTCCTTGGTTGCACGGTCCACCCTGACTGGTTTACCAATGCGCGCAGCAATACGCTCAACCGCTTCTTCGTTGAAAAACTCAACTGGGAGAGCTGGTAGCCTAGCCCATACCATAGTTCTAGCAACTTCAGCTGTTTTGGGATCAAAATTTTTCCGCCATGGCCGTACAGTAAGGTAGTATTCGCCTATCATGTACGGCCCACCCACAGCTGCTTGCTCATAGTCGATCTGATTAGCAAAACGAACTGCATAAAAACCCCAGGATAGACTGGTTATCTGAATGCTACCACATTTAGCCCATAGGTATTCCAGTCGCCTAGATAGGATGGGAAACGGAAACGTTTTCCCTAAGACCTTAACGATCAGAGCTGATCGCCATTTGCGTCTGTAACGTAGCTTTTCCATTGATGTGAAAGGGATGGTAGGGCAGGTTGGGTCATCATTCTCGAGAATCTCGTCGTCCAAATCATCCTCTTTCATTGCCATAGCCACGTCCTCGGAGTCCGAGTCCGCAACGTACCACGAGTCTTCTGTTAACATGTCACTGAACAGCTTCTTCTTAGTCCCTGCCCCCCAAGCTGTTTGCGGAGCAGATCTCGGACTCCCAGCTTGGCTGTCGACAACTTTCGCCGTCTCACTGGGTTGTTGCACGGTATTGGGATCTTCCATCATCGGAGCTGGTTCATAAGTCGGGTTCTCCCGGACGTTTTTGGCCTTCTTTTTGGGATGCTGAGCCTCCTTGTTGTCACGGCCATTTGGAGAAGAGGACATCACAGGTGATCTCCTTTGCCCTCCGTTAGGATCTGGTGGGCGCGGTACGGGGGGCTGGCCCTTTTGGCCGGCGCCCTGCATGAGCCGGTATTGCGCTAGGATTCTCGCCGATCACGATGTCGCCGTCTCCGAATAATACGGAGGGCTAGGGTTTCTTTTACAACCCTGGTGAGACGTAAAAAAACGAAACTCAATTGTAGAGTGAATTAGCGGAATAAAGAAATGAGATCGGAATCAGAAATTCGCTTGAATCTCAATCGATTTTATGTGTAGGTAATGCATCAAAGGAAGCAAGTGACAGGAAGAGAGCAATCGTCGGTGATTCAATTGATGGAGTAAATAAGGCGTTGATTAGCGGAATAAAGAAAAAAAGAAAGAAACCAGATCGTAATCATAAATTGCGTTCGAAACTCAATTGATCTTCTGTACGGAATCAAAGGAAGCAGGAGAGAGGAAGACAACAATTCTCGGGAAGAGCTGAGGAAGTAGGGGTGGGCATTCGGTCGTTTCGGTTTTGACCGAACCGAAATTATGAATATCGGGTCCCCAAATTCTCCCAAATCTCAAACTGAATTCGAACCGAATTATAATTCGGTTCGGTCGGTTTAAACCGAGCTATAATTCGGTTCGATTCGGTTTTTCACACAAAACCGAATTTGTGAAGCTACTTGTATTTTCCTCACTTTTAAATTATTTTTCACCCCTAATATAAACAATAAATATCAATTATATGCATCATCAATGATAAAACCAAAGTTTTCAACACATAAGTCATAAAACATTTACAATATTTAAGTCTAAAGGGTTAATACCCTAGTTTGGCCCGAAGTTTAGCGTAAGTGACACTTCTGACCCCATTTTTTAAATAAGACATTTGTGGCCTACTTTTGAAATTATTGGACAGATTTGGCCTAGTGCCGGAGTTGACCGTTAAAACTGACGGTCAATGATTTTTTTCCGTTAATGACTCATCACTTAACGCTGACGTGGTTATGATGGCTTTTCATTTAATTTATATTAAAATAATAATATATAAAGAATTTTAAAAATAAAAACATGAAAATGAAAATTTGAAAAAAATAAAGTGAAGGGATATGATGGATCTCCCTCTCTCTAAACTCTTCGTCTCCTTCTTGATTTCCAAATCTCCCCCAAATTTGATCCTATTTCCCAACATATTTCAGCGGCTGTAGATGGTTGTACATCCACCGCCGTCGCCATTCCTCCCGGGCCACCCCGCCTTCCTCAGTCGCAAGTCCCTGCCCTCGTGTTGCCAACAGAAATCGCAAATCTATTTATGCAACCCCAAACCTAGAGAACAAATTGAATCTAACCGCGAGAATGGATCCTTCTCTGAAACCGCCTAAGAGGCGAGCCGCCGTGAGATCTGAAGCTACGTCGCCGCCGAGGATCAAGTTTGGATTTAGATTCATAGCCCCATCCATCTATTTAGCGCCGGTAATCATGTTCTTGACGTAATCGGTTTTGCCAGGACAGTCGACGTGGGCGTAGTGGCGGTGGCGGTGGCGGTGTTGATGGTGATACCGCGGGCTCTCTTCTCGGGTGGGGCGTCGATTTCGTCGTACTTCTTGGCGGCGCTGTTGCCCATGGAAGCGAGAGCCATGGTTAGGGAACAATGAGGGCCATGGTTAGAACCAATTTTGAGATGCGCCAATACTGCGAAGAGAGAGCAGAGGAAGAGGAGATGGAGGGAGTTGGGAGGGGATTGGGTTTGTTATCTAATTGAGATTGGGGTTCTTGTGGGATTTGCTATCCACGATGGCAGAGAAGAGGGGGCACTGCTTCCGATCCATGGTGGCGGCGGATGAGAGGGGAGGGTCGATGGAGGAGGGAGTTTAGATTAGGGTTTTTATGTTTATTTTTCATGTTTTTAAGTACTAAAAAAATGAATTGAAATAAAAATGACATGCAGCCACATCATTGCCACTTCAGCATAGGATGCTGAATCATTTAACGGAATAAATATTTGACCGTTAATGTTAACAGTCAACACAAGTTTTGGGCCAAAACTGTCCAATAATTTCAAAAGTAGGCCACAAATGTCTTATTTGAAAAATGGGGCCAGAAGTGTCACTTACGCTAAACTTCGGGCCAAACTAGGGTATTAACCCAAGTCTAAAAACAACTACAAACATAAAAATCCACCATTTGGAGCTTGCAATTATAATATTTCGGTTTTTCGGTCGGAAATTTGGAAATTCGGTTCGGTTGAAAGAACCCTGATTTTCGAACTATCCATATTTTCCTTCTGAATTCCGAACCGAATAGCATTAATTCGGTTTCGGTTCGGTTCGGGTTTACCTAACTGTTTGCCCACCCTATGAGGAAGCCACCGAAACGGAAGGGGGGAGCTGGAAGAATGAAGGAAGAAGGATGGAAACAAATGAAATGAACCAAACACAAAAAACTCGGCCCGCTCCTTTGGGCTTTTGGGCCAGTTATACTACTACGGGTTAATAAATGGAAAAAATCCAGAAATAGAACTATAAAAAAATTCTAAAAATATGGCACCCAAACCACAAAAATTTCAAATTTAGCACCATTACTCGAAAACCACACTCCAAAGGTGCGGTTTATGAAGAAACTTGGGAAGACACGATTTTTGCTAGGCGGATGGTTCTATTTTTGAAATTTGTGTGGGTTGTGTGCTATTTTTGTAATTTTTTAAAATAATGTTATTTCTGGAAAAAAATCCCTAATAAATCGCTATTACTTACTTGTGCACTTCCAGATCCAGCCCAAGTAATGAAAGCATCCATAGCCAAATGGTTGTTCCGGCTCCAGATACTGTCAGTAACCCCTGTTTACTGACCAATGAGTATCCAAATCTCAACCAACAGATTTAAGTGGCCCAAAAAATCGAGATATAAGGGTGGAGAATTATATACATTTTTATTTTTTCTTGTTTTATTAATCGGCTCATATCTGCTTCGTTTTAACTCGGATTTCAATTTTTTATGCACAGATGGAATGATTTTGTTGTGCTCTACAAAATGAGATCCATTTTCAATATTTTTTGAGAAAAAAGATTTCTTGCCTCTCGTTACTAACTGCATACCATATGGTATATTTTTCGTTTTTAAGTCGTTTTTGAAATTTTTGCACAGAATGTACGAGTTCATCATGATTTATTAGATCTATAAATTTCCGGGTGAACAAAATACATGACCAAAAAATACCACCCGATACATCCTGGTATGGGGTGGTATCCGTATCTTGTGGTACACAATGTTGAAAGTCGTAAATGACAGTTAATATACTTCTACTATAATGTACTCAATCATCCTACATTATTGGTATGTTCATACCACCATGGTAAGCTTTTTCATACCATATGATATGCTCTTATTTAATACTAGTCAATACCATATGGTATATACTTGTACTAAATGGCTCAACTTTTTTTGTTCCAAAAATATATCAAAGTGGATATCATTTTGAAGAACACAATTAATCTGATCTAACTGTGCAAAAAAATTAATTTTGACTTAAAACGAGTGAGGAATCGTTCGTTAAAGATTAAGGGGAAAAAATTAAAAGCTTTCCAGAATAGAAAAGGGTCGCTGGTTTGACGGGTGGTGATTGAGTTATGTATGGTTACTCACCACAAGATTATGCACAGGAACTGCTCCTGGATGTTCCTGGAGCAGGAACCCTCATCCACGCCATGTGGCTGTTCGAGAGTCGTGAGAATCAAGAGCCACAAAAGACCCGATAAAATGAAATTTTGGTGATCAAAATTCGTTAGTGACTCCAATCTCTAGTGACCGTAATGAAACCAACACAAAAGAGGCGACCCACCCAAGATGGCAATGGGGCGGGTTTGTCTAAATCATCCTCATCCCCATTTCCAAATACTCACACCCATACCCACCTCATACCCATGCGGGTGGAGTTTTTGCAAACTCATCCCCATACTCGCGGGTTTCGGGTACCCATGAGTAATACCCATTCCCGTATAAATAAGCAAGTCAATTGCAAGGTCAAACGCAATTAACACCCTTCTATGGAGCAACTCATCCACACAACTCAGCCCATCTAATAAAACAAAATTGCAGAAATGAAACAAAATGAACTTAACCCAACAATATTTAATTCATGAGGTGGAAATAGGGAGGTTTGTTGAGAGAGATTAGAGAGAGAAGAGCTCTCCCCTCTCTCTTCCTTTTCCTCTCTTTCCTTTCTTTTTGCAAGCCACTGTTTTGTCCTTTCTGGGTTTTTGAATGGAGCCTCCAGGAGAGGCCACTGTCCCCGACCCAAAACCACCGGATTCTTCACCGGCGACGACACGGACTCAACCCAGCAAGAAGGCCAAGGCTTTCTCAAGCACTGGATTCTCTGGAGAGGGAATCATGGACTTTGCCGTTGTCACTACAAGAGCGGAAGATACCCATGATTGTGCGGAGGAAGAGGAAGAGATGTTGACTGATTCTATCCCAGAACGCGGACAGGGGAATAAAGAAGAACAAAGGAAGGTCAGGGCATGTGATGAGAGATCCGAACAACCTTTCTAGGGTGGCCATCAAAGCTCATACAAAGACTCTGTCCTTGGTAATAACCCTTTCCTTGATAACAATACAGGTGACAAACTAATGTCGGATGAATGCGATGAGGAGAATGGTGAAGATGACCCTAACTGTCCCACCATCCAGGTTAAGAAGAGAACCAATGCCAAAATCCAAATCCGATGGAATCGTACAATCACATTTTGTGTTCTTGGTAAACACTTCCCTTTCGCTTATGTTCACCGCCATGTACAGAGAATGTGGGTAAGACTGGTGGAGGGGAGATCGGTGATATCGACATTGGATACAGCCAGGCGGTGTTAGACTCTCAAATAGACCATGATCAAGCACTCTTCGGTGGACCCTGGACAATTGACAACCACTATATCGTCTCCGAGCCATGGAGGCTGGATTTCGATCCAGATTTTGACTCTATCTATCACATCTCTGCCTGGGTCAGACTGCCTCGCTTGCTACTCGCTTACTTTGATGAAGAGATCCTGACTTGACATTGGGAATAAGTTGGGGAGGGTACAAAAAATTGACTACAACACAACCAATGGTTTCCAAGGCACTAACGCCAGGATCTGCGTTGAGTTTGGCCTTAGTAAAAGATTGGGTTCGAAATACAGATTGAAGAGAAAAGTTCACAGGGTTGAGTATGAAGGGTTCCACATCGTGTGTTTCTACCATGGTCATTATGGGCATCTGGAAGAAAACTGTCCCACGAAAGCAGGAACAGAGCCCTCTGTGGCGGAGCAAAGCGGGAATGCAACTTGCAATGCTCAATCTTCGCAGCCAATCAGGCCGGAAGTGGTTGAGGATAGGGCTGGCTATTTGGTCCGAGTTTTTTTTTTACCCGAAACCGGACCGTATAACCCTGACCGGGATCGAATAATAAACAATCCAATCCAATCTTTGGGCTTAGATTTGAGATTGAAAACTGGAAAAAGACCGGATAAGAGAGCTTAACACCCAAAACTTAAGGTTAATTTGCATAAACGGTCACAAACCTTTGCACTTAGTACAAAACTTAACCAACTCCTCACCCTTTCGGGTCTTAGGCCACTCAAATCCCCACAAAGTCAATATAAAATCAAGACCGAATTGGGAACGGACCGGGTCAAGACCGGATCGGATCAAGACCGGACTGCATCCAATCCAATCTTTGGTCCTTATATTTTTTAAAAAGACCGGACTGGACCGGATCAATTTGGGCCAATTTAACCTGACCGGACCGTATAGCCACCCCTAGTTGAGGACTTTGGACCTCAGATGCTTGCGGCGAGTCCTAAAAGGACCAAGAATCATAAGAATAGCCGAGGCAATGAAGAAGCAACAAAGAAAAATAACATTAATGAGGAAGGAAGAAACTCTGGATCACGATTCACTGTTCTGGAAGTTGAAGGGAAGGAGGCAGAGAAAGATGGGAACATGGAAGTCAAGTCCCCAACAACGAGCAGGAAGGAAGAGCAACAAGATAGGGCCTCCCTTGTCGAGGATCTCATAGTTGAAAAATTGATTTCTCCCTTGACCAAGGGAATGAGCAGAATGGAAAATGCACAACTACCCTTAGTAGAGCCAATGCAATGTGCCACATGGGAGGGAGAGGCGGCCATGACCGCCGAGCTTTGTTGATCTCCAACCTTTGGGTTGTGCATGGAAGTTATTAATCATCACCCATAGTTAAAATCTTCTCCTAGAATTGCAGGTTTAACCGCAAAACCGCAATCGTTTTCCTAGCCCTGGCAGGAAAGCTAGAACCATCCGGAAGAAATTCCACAAGGATGCTACTAAAAACAGAAGAATGAATTTCAACGAATGGCTGACTTCCAATATCAGACAAGAAGAAACAACTACTATGTTTGGCATCATTTGCTGGTAATTATGGAAACAAAGGAATGAAGAGGTCATGGAAGGACGTGTCTTCTCCAAAGAGGGTGTTTTTGCAAGGATCAAGGTATGGTTCAACATTGTTTGTCAGACTCATGCCAATTTCCAAAAGACCACAACCATCAACCAAAGGAAGAAACACAACTGTTGTGTGGGATAGAAACTACTAGATGAAGGGTGGATCCAGTTGCAATCGGATGGTTCTGTCTTGTCGCCAAGTGGAAGAACAACAATAGGAGGTTTTTTCAGAGATCGCCTAGGGAGATGCTTGGTAGCCTATGTCTGCAACCTCAGTCGATGCCCAATCATTGTCGCTGAATTACGAGGAGCTTTGGAGGGATTGAAGATTGCTTGGAAGGAGGGCTACTGGAAGATCCTCCTCCACATTGACTCTACTACGGCTATCAACATCATTAATCACAAAAATGAAGATGATCATCGTCATGGACGTATTGCCAGGCATTTGAGCTACCTTTTGGATCAGCAATGGGACGTTAGAGTGTCCCATGCGTATAGGGAAGCCAATTTCGCTGCCGATTTCTTGGCTAGCAAGGCACATGATTATGATTATGGCACACATCCTTTCAATGTGTGCAATAGGGAATTGATCCAATGGATCAATCATATGTAATGGGAACCTCCCATGAACGTGTTATTGCTAATGTGATTTAGACGCTCGACGTCTGCCTTTCAACCAAAAAAAAAAAGGAATCATTCCAAAGAAGGTACTAGCCACAAAAACAACCGTAAAATATATGTTTATAGAAGCTTACATTAGATGCATGACAAACAGAATCATGTCACCATCGACTGAAGGTGGCTGAAGCCGAGAGTGATATGATGACGTAGTCATGTTGGGTTGAAGGCGACGACATGGTGGGTTGATTCGGAATAGAGAGGCGGAGCAGTGAAGCAGAGGAGGTCTAGTGAAGTCGACAATCCGTAGAGTGAAGGCCAAGTGCTAAAGTGATTTGGGAAGTTAGGATTTTGTGAGGCTATCAATTACATTTTAACCCTCTTCTTGTTTTTAATTGAACTTTCTACCATTGAAAAATTACAAATGGCTACTGTTTGAGCCTAGAATGTACTAAGCAGTTTGATGAGGCACGAGCGAAACTTATATTCTTGATGATGGGTGGTGCTCCAGAGCCCTGCAAAACAAGAGTCCGTGGGCGTTCGCCCGGGACACCCTTTGATGGTTAAGTTAGAGATAGAATTTGAGAATGTGTTTGTGTTTAAAGAGCATAGTTAGTAAAATACGATACGGGAAAGTTACGTAAAAAATACGTACGGACATTATACTTCGTCTTTAAGCTAAAGTTACATTTAATAGTACGTTAATAGTCATAAATATATAAAAATAATCATTTTAAAAATAAATAAATATATAAATAATAGTAAAGTTAATAATTTAATTCATAAAATACGGATAATAAATGTGTTATACGGATTTTATACGTGTTTAGTACGGGAGCCATCAAATGAACGGGGGAAAATGAAACGGCTTGACAATAATATGGATACGAAAGTTTTAAATGGATAAAATACTTACGGGTACATATACTTGTATCAAACGGAGTATTTACTAACTATGTTAAAGAGAAGGGAAGTAGTTGAGTTACCGTCAATGCTAGTGTGGAGGTATTTATATCCGGTTAGGTGAAGTTTAGAGCATTAAATGCTCTGTCAGGTGCCCTAATCCTGTTATAGGCCACCTACGGCGGTTAATTAATGCTTAGTCTTGCTTGCTTCGAGGTAAATATCCTAGAGGATCCCTCCCTCTTGTCACCATCAGTGCTTTATGTCAGGCGGTCTATACCTGTCTTGTCCCTAGAATGATCGCCTAACCTACTTAATTGCTTGCGGCCGCCAATCCCCCTGGGCTGGGCCTATTCGCTTTGCTTGGGTTCTAAAGCCCAATACCGCTCAACCATGGTCCCAACAATTTCCCTTTAGGCGGGAAAAGCTTTGGGTTTTGGCGGCTATAATTTCTCGATCGATAATGTTGAGCGGTCTTTGTTTCCCAACCGCTCTCCTTGCCCTTTGCCCCTGGTCGCACCAGAGGCAGATTTCCCGTCGTAAGGTTATCTACACGCTTCTCTCATTTCGCTAAGTGTCGCGCTCCTCTCAACTCTGATTTTATGCGGTCTGACCCACCCGGTTCACATCATTGACTGCATGCTTGTCCACGTGACAGGACTCGAAAATCAAGCTCTGACAACGGTAAGCCTAGGCGTCGTTTCAGCTGCCCTTTTTTTGAATTAGCAGACTAGGGTTTTTCCTCAGTCACCCAACCATCATGTCACTGCCCTCCTCCGTATATATATATATATCCACTATTTACCCTTCTTCTTTACTTCTTTTTTCTTATCGTTTTCTCTGATCTTTCCCAAAATCCTCCCAAAATTGCTCGCTGCAAGTTCACCTTTTTTTCCTATATGCGAAGTCATCCCCCTCTTTCAGCGGAGCAAGTAACCTATCTCGATAGGATTAAACACTCTAAAAAACGAGCGAAGAAGAAACAACAAAGATCCAAAATGACGATCGACTCTCAGAGCACCACTCTTTCTGATAGCCAGAACAAGAATCTCTCCATCGACATTCCTGCCACTACCCCTTCTGATGAGGTTCGAACCTCCAGCGCATGCGCGAGTCTTCTGCGCTCTTCGCCCAAGACCGGCGGGGGTCCAGCTGTCCATCTTCTAGAACCAGGCAGATCGCCTAAGTTATGCTCTATCTTTATTCCCCTTTTAGCGTGTCCGACCTATAATGGGATTTGGAGAACATAGATTTAGTGTGCGGCCTTGAGAACACTATTGCAGGGAGAAATTAGACGGTCTTAATTATGGTCTTTTAGGAGTAGGCATGGACCCTCTGGCCGACACTGGCGCTTCAATAGCTATGCGCGGGGGGGGGGGGCATCTTTGACGGTTGATGACAACCTTGGCGACTTTAATTTTTCCGAGTCAGAAAGCTAACAGCCTCGCAGCGCTCCTGTGGTTACCCTCTCCTCAGATAGTGGGAACGGACCGCACGACGACGTTTAGGACGCCAATTACATCGAATCACTCTGTACAGGGGCTGGGGGGCTGCACCTGACTGCTGAAATGGTCGCATCTGTGACTGAGGAGGAACTGGCCCCTGTCTGGGCGGGTAAAGAGGCTATTGCTGCTGGAAGCCTGGCGGTCTGTAGGAGACTGGTGGTCTAGGATTAGTCCCACTCCAGAAGAAGTTGGGATGCTGGCGCCACCCCTCATTGTAAGTTTTGTTATAGGGGTCAAAACGCCTGGCATTGCCGATGAAGTCCAACTGCTCCTGGGGTGTAGTCGACTCCCTCATCGCCTGACAGTCTTCTACAGTGTGATGGGAGCTTTCGCACCACTGGCAACCACATCGTTGTTTTGCGGCTCACCCATGTCTTCCTCCTAGTTGATCTGCAACTGTGCTAGAGCCTCCTCCGCAGCCAGTCACGCCTTTAGAGCTTGCTTGAAGTTCCTACAGGTTCTTTCAAGCTCTTGATCTAATGGCAGTAAGTCTCCTGACTGGCTACAGGTCATGCACTACCTGCACACAGAATGCAAACACAACCCGTGAAGGCACAAAGGTGGAAGAGAGAGAATGCAGTAAAGAAAAAGCTAGAGTAACAAACTTTCACGTTTCCACAATAACTTAGAGTTCCCCAGCAACGACGCCAAAAACTTGACACACTAAAACACAACACCAAACTGCGACCAAGTGTAGTCGCAGTCCGGAAATGCAGAATAGTGGCAAGTTCTATTTATCAACCTGGGGTCTAGATCTATTGCCTACTCCGTGATTATCTATTATCTAGCAAATTAAGTTGAGTGAATGTGATTTTAGCTAAAGTAGTAAGAAAGCAGGAAACGGTTCGAAGTTCTTAAGCAGGGGAAGAGTCACTCGGGAATGAGTCCACCTATCTCCTTAGTTAGGTCAAAGTTGTAATTACCTTTGGTTGATTTACTGTTGATTAAACTGCGGAAAATCCGACAGTAGCTTGGAATCTCTTAAGCTGACCAAGTCCTCTCAGATAGACTAACCAGCAGGCGACTAGCCTTCATCGGGATAGACTGCTGAGGCAATAAACACAAAACTCCACTACTGGAATTGGATTACAGTACAAAGCAGTGAATCGACTAACTTTCGTATAATTGATTCACTACTACCGATTGAAGAAGCTCTAACAACCTAAACAGATTCTATCTATCTCAGGTTGTAGTAGAAATCAATAAAAGATGATCAGACTTCAATTGACTCAACCAAAACACTTCAATCGATTATAATCAAGTAGTATCACAATCCAAACATCATTACAAACGATATCCCTAACACATGGAACTAGGGTTCTTCATACCCAAGCGAGAGGGGGTTCTACTCCGTACAGAGGGAGAGAGAGAGGAAAACAGAAAACAAGGCAGTCATACTCATCAAGATGGGAAGAATCTGCTTTGGGATTATAATCTTCACTCCAAGGATAAAATCCAAATTTGATTGATGAAACCCAGTCCAAAATCACCTCTAGGGTGTGTTCTTCGCACTTTCTCTCTTTAGGACTCTGTTTCTAGCTCTGAAAATCGATACCCCCTCAAAAGACCCGAAATTGGGTTAAAACCCAGAATTCCGCGACTACACGGCCGTGTAGAATTCCCAGCTGCCCGTGTGGAGGTGTAAAACGCCACGTTTCACTTATGTGCCTTCATGCACACTACACGGCCAAAACTGCACGCCCGTGTAGAATCTCGGCCTGCCCGTTTGAAGGTCTCAGGGATTTCCATACGGCCACAAAGGGTCCTTTACACGACCAGTGTGGTTTGCCCGCGCAAAAGAGCTTCCACACGGCTGTGTTTCCCAGCTTCCTGTCAATCGTTCCAACTTCATCCAATCGACCCCGAACTCGTGCCCGAACCTTCCTTCACGTACTAGGACTTGAAATATCACAAACACGAACAACCTAGCGTGAAATCGGCCTAAAACACGAGAGATGAGACTCGAACGCTAGAGGAGTGGTGGACAAAAACATGTGTATATATCAAGTCATCAGGCGGTTTAAAACTGTTGGAGATTTTTAGATTATCGCTCTGGGGCGATTCAAGCCGTGCAAGAAGTTTACTCAATCCATCGCTAAGAGGCGCTTTGATTATCTTGACGTAAGCAACAAAATACATCACATGCTACAATCATATTGACCGTTCAAAACATTTAACAGCCATGAGATTCATTTCTTTACTCTACTTCTCCTAAGTATTTCTTCAAGTGGATGACATTCCAGGTCTTTGCTACTGGCTTTCCTTCCATCGTGGCGAGCACATACGTGGCAATGCCTAGCTTCTCTCCTACGAGGAACGGTCCTTCCCATATGGCGGCTAGCTTGCCATGCCTTCCTTCTGATCGAAGTTTCTTTTTAGCACCATGTCACCTTCCTCCAGTGGCTTGCGTCTTACCTTTTTGTTGTACGCTCTTGTCACCTTCGACTTTTCCCTGATGGTTCGGACCAGCGCTGTGTCTCGGCGCGTTTCGATCATGTCCAGCTGGTGGAGGAGCTTTTTGGGGTTTTCTTCTGGGTCATAAGTTTGGACCCTGAGGGATGGGAGGGCCATTTCCACTGGGGCGACCGCTTCGAAGCCATACGTTAGAGAAAATGGGGTCTCGCCTATTGCTCTTTTGTAATTCGTGTGATGCGCCCAAAGTACATGTGGCAGCTCTGTGGTACACCCTCCCTTCTCTTCCTTCAATAGTCTTTTGAGCCGCAAAATCAGCTTGTTTGACAACTCGACTTGCCCTTTGGCCTGGGGAAACACAACTAAAGTCATGTTGCATATGATGCGGTTTCTAGCACAAAAGTTTTCAAATGGCCTGCAGTCAAACTGCGTACCATGATCAGTGATGATGGTATGGGGCGTCCCAAACCTAATCATTATGTTATTGAACAAATACCTAAATCTTGGCACTTGTGATCGTGCCAAGCGATTCAGCTTCTATCCACTTCGTGAAGTAATCCACAGCCACCACCAAATATTTCTTTCCCGGAGGAGCAGTGGAGAAAGGACCCAAAAGATCTAGCCCTCATTATGCAAACGGACATGGTCCCATCATGCTTTACAACTTCTCGTTTGGCGTGTGTTGCTTGCTGACATGTACTTGGCACTCATGGCATCCCGCGACCACTTTCATTGTATCTTTTTTCACCGTTGGCCAATAGTAACCTTGCAACAGTATTGTTCTCTCGAGACTTCGCGGCGCGGAGTGCGAGGCGCATGTGCCTCGATGAATTTCTTTCACTACCCACTTTGCCTCACTTGATCCGAGGCATTTCAAATATGTTCTTGAGAAAGACCTTTTACACTACTGCCCTTCTACCATGCCCTTGACCTTCCCTGAAAACTTAGCAAGCGCTTCCTCCTTTACTTCATAGTTTTCCAGCACCTTATTGACTACTAGTAGTGAGTCGGAATATATCTGTAAATGTGAGGTGCCCAAGTTTGTAGCAATTCTGAGACCGCTGAGCACCGCCTCATATTCCGCCTCGTTGTTGGTTTTTAGCTCATGGAATCTTTGCGAGATTTCATGTACAACACCTTTAGGCATTTCAATGACAATTCCTGCTCCCGCTCCTCCTTTTCCAAGGACTCCATCGACAAAAAGACGCCACACTTCTTCTCTTCCTTCTGGCTCTGCGGCCTCCAAGCTAAAACCTTATGCGAAGAAATCTGCCAGCACTTGCCCATTGATTGAAGGACGCGGTGCATACGCGATATCGTGCACGCTTAGCTCGACCGCCCATTTCGTCATTCTTCCAGATACGTCCATTCCCCTCAAGATCTTCTTCAATGGTAGGTTAGAAAGAATTGTGACTTGGTGCCCCTGGAAATAGGGTCGCAACTTCCTTGCCGCTAAGATGAAGGCTAGGACCGCCTTCTCGATTGTCATGCAATGGTTTTCTGCTGAGATGACTTTTTTCCTTTCCATATGATGGCCTGAGATGTTCCTCCTATCTTCTCTTGTCTCTTTACCTTTGGCCCTTTTCTTCCTCGAGCTTTGGGGCGTTTCTTTAGTCTTCTCGGGTGCATCTTTTGTTTTGTGCATGGTGAGGATTTGGCTGAGGATTTCTTGCATGTTGGATAGTTGTTGCCCATGACTTTTCACACGGTCTTCTATCTCCATCTCTTCCTCTACGGCTCCCATCCATCCTTTCTTCAGTGTCTCGCTCTATGCCCCACGATGGGCGCCAAATTGTTTGAGCCTAGAATGTACTAGGCGGTTTGATGAGGCATAAACAAAGCTTTTGTTCTTGATGATGGGTGGTGCTCTAGAGCCTTGCAAAACAAGGGTCTGTGGGCGGTCGTTCTGGACACCCTTTGATGCTTAAGTTAGAGAGAGAATATGAGAATGTGTTTGTGTTTAGAGAGAAGGTGATAGACCATTGATTGCACATGTTTTTACCCCTATTCTTGAGCCGTTTGAGATGTTGATTCTCGTGTTTTAAGCCAATTTCACGCTAGGTTGTGCGTTTATGTCATATTTCAGGGCTTAGCGTTGGCATCGAGACGAAGAAACGAGTTTCGGGTCGAAAGGAGCATGTTTGGGGTGAAGTGTGTTGGAGGAGCAAAATACCCGGCCATGAGCAGAAATACCCGGCCGGGTATTATTTGGAGCAGGCCGGGGAAAATGTGTTTTGGGCGTCTGAGAAGCAGAAGGGGGCCCGGACAGTAAGCAGAAATCCCCGGTAGGGTATTCTTGGCCTTGACCGGGGATTTTCCCCTGTTCCCCGACGGTGCGTTTTGATAATACCCGGTCACCACCTAAAATACCCGACCAGGTATTCAGGCCGGGGATCGCGACAGACAGCCTCTTAAGGGAAAAGAAGGGCAAAAGAGAAAGGGTCCCGAGTTTTAGAGAGAAAAGGTGATACCTAGAGAGAGAAAGTGACGAACCTGATTCTGCTAAGTGTTTGTCCTTGATCGATCTCCATCACCATTGGAGCACGACTTGAGCTTGGAGAAGAGCTGATTGAGTGCCAGAAGCAGATTCTCATCCTTCATAGTATGGTTTCCACATCTGAGCTAAATTTCCCATCTCTCTCTATGGAGTAACTTTCTTATTCACCTGGGTATGAAGAACCCTAGATTTGTATGTTAGGTCTGATTGAATGAACCCAAGTACAGATTCAGTGGTATGATTATGTTCAATTGAGGTTTGATTTGTTGAATGGTATGAATCCTGATCAAATTCCTGTTGTTTCTGCTTTAACCTAGAAAGAGAATATCTGCCTAGGTTGATAGAGCACCCTTGATTGAAGGTAGTGAATTGGTGACTTTAGTCGAGAAGTCAATTCACTATTCTGTACCGAATTTACTTCGGTAGTGGAGGTTTTGTTCGTTAGGGCCTCAATCTGTTTACTCCAGTGGAGGTTAGTCGCCCGCTGGAGACTCAGATTGAGAGGGTCTGGAGACCTTTAGTCGAGACTGCAGACTGTTTAAGAACCTCCCGCAGTATAACTATCATTGAAATTGAACTTGGTAAATTACAATCCAGCTTAACTGCAGTCTAGGGAGAACCATATCCGGGTGACCTCTCTCGACTTGAAAACAACCTTTTAACTGCTTTGCTTGTTTGGACCTTCACTAAAGTTTCACTGCTAAATAATAAGAACTCATGGAGTAGTCATCACATCTAGGACCCGGGTTGACATGAAAACCCAAACCCGCTATACTACGCTTTAGGAGGTGGTTACACTTGGCCATTTTCTAGAGTGACAGTAGAAGCTAGTCAGAAGGTAAGTAATTGAGTTACCATCAATGCTAGTGTGGAAGTATTTATACCCGGTGAGGTGAAGTTTAGAGGATTAAATGTTATGTCAGGCGCCCTAATCCTGTTATAGGCCACCTACGGCGATTAATTATTGCTTAGTCCTACTTGCTTCGAGGTAAGTATTCTAGAGGATCTCTCCATCTTGTCACCATCAGTGTTTTATGTCAGGCGGTTGATTCGGACCTAACTACACATGTTTTGCCCCCGTTTGACTTAGATGTTTGTGCCAAATTCGCTCATTAAAGGTTGGTTTTACACGATGTTCTTCGTGTTTGAGTGCTTTTCAGGATTTAACAGGTGGAACCAACCTCAGAGTCGAAAGATTGGCGAAAAGGATCGAAAATCGGGAGAAGGGGGTGAAAAAGAGCTAGTTCACGGCTAAGTCAAGGAGTTAACGGTCATGCAAGACCGTGAAGAAGGGGAGTTGATCATGAATCGCGAGGCGTCCAGAGCCAATTTGAAGGTTACTAACGCGAGGTGAGTTCACGGTCACAAAAGATCGTGAACACAGGCAGTTGATCGTGACAGACGTGAGCGATGCGGAGCATTTTGGCGCACGCCTTGAGTTCACGGACGCGTTTGATGGTTCACGGCCGTGAACTCAGCTCTTCTCGGGTTTAAAAGATGAGCTGAAAGGAGGAGAGAGGGGAGAGCCCACTTTTGTGTGAAACACCTTCTTCAGCATTCTAGTGAGAGAAACAGAACCAAAGGGAAAAAAAGGTTAGGGTTTGGCTTCAAGGCAGATTTTGGGAAGATTTCCCCAAGGAAATCTCAACTCAAGGGTCAAGAAGAGAAGGAGCATCCTCAAAGATGGTTTCCACTTTTTCCCTTTTGTTCTTCCCACTTCTAGCATGGAGTAGACCTCAATTCACTTGAGTGTAGTGAAACCCTAACTCTACCATGTAGTTTTCTTGTATGTGTTTTGGATGATTGTCATTGGGTATTGTTCAATTCAATGATTGAGGCATTATTCACCATGATTGTGCATGCTTGTGCTTAGCATCCTTAGGTTTGTGCATCTAGGTGCTTAGCAACCTAGGGATTGTGCATAATTGTGCTTAGCACCCCTAAGTTTGTGCATGTAGGTGCTACTAATCTAATTTGCCACGTTAGCCTAGTTTAGAGAGGAAAATCCCCCTTTCAAGGGAGACTCAATCGAGTTGGTTTTCCTTCCGCTTTCTAAGCCACCTAAACTAGGTTGAGTTAGGGCAACCCTCAATGTTGAGTGAAACAATTCGATTAATCGTGGTTAAACCGTCCGACCTTAGAGTTGAGTGACACTACCATTCATCCTCACCTCGGTTTGGCAATTGAGACTATGGTCTCCGACCACATATGCATTCCTCTACGGTTCACGATTAACACGTTCAAAGGCATCGTTCCAATTCACATAGCATGGTAGCAGTTATGGGGAAGCTACACCCGGGTGACTTTCCACAAAAGAGTTTTCAAACAAAATTACATTTGCTTTCTTTCATTTCAATTAGCAAACCTTTAAACCAAAATTTTATCGTTAGATAATGATTTCAACAACCGAAGTAGGGGTAGACGGACCGGCTCGGGTCGTTATCTAAATACTTTCCCTATACTGCACCCGATTAGAGTTTAAAAACTTGGGCTATAATTGTGGTTTTATTGTGGTGTAGTTTCGTGCGAGTCAGCGGTCTATACCTATTTTGTCCTTAGAATGACCGTTTAACCTACTTTATTGCCTACGGTCGAGATACTCCTGGGCCATTCCCCCTGGGTCGGGCCTATTCGCTTCCTTGCCGCTCAATTATGGTCCCAACAACTACCTATATTTTTTCCATATAACATAACATCCTTGATGGGCAGAGATGTTAAAACCATACCCACCCCATACCTAGTCAATGTGGGTATTCACCGCGTTGACTAGGTCGGAGGCTCCCCGCGTTGGCTGGGTCGGAGGCGGTCAGGTACCCGCGGCCATTGCCATCCCACCCAACTAGGGGTGGAAATCGGTACGGTATCGGTATCGGTATCCCAATACCAAATACCGAAATCCCAAATACCGAATTACCCTAAAATCAATCCCAATCTCATTCCCTAAATATTTTGATATCCCAATCCCTAAATATTTTTGTATCCCAATCGGTACTTCGATATCCCAATTGGTATTATCGAATACATAATTAATTACATTTGCAATTAATAATTAAATGTATAAATTAGATTTGATTGTTTAATTCAGGACAAAGAGACTAAGCAAAGAGTTTTGAGTTTGCGTAGAGCTAGGATATGGATAAGGAGAATGGAGGAAATGTGAAATCTCAAAATTTTGTCATTGGTAATCTTTAATTTGACGAATTGGAGGCTGAGAGACGACTAATACTAGTGTTTGCCTTTTGGTGTTATGAAAATAACAAGAGATTAGGTCAAAGACGAGAGTGGCTTAAATTGAGTTGGATGGGAATTTCTAAATTGTGAAAGAGTGGTGAATGACCAAAGGTTGTGCGTTATATTTCATTAATTTTTATTTTCTGGTATTTCTCAGTATTTCAATATATACTGATCTCAATCATGTAATCCCGAAGACCGAATAGAACTCCAAAATAAATCACAATTCTAATCCCTAAAAAATAAGTCAATATTCTATAATATCAAATAGTGATAAATTTAATACGATAATCGGTATATCTCAAATACCAATACCAAACTTTCAGCCCTATACCGAACTACTTGGCCTACTTTTCCCTTTCTTTTCCTTTCTTTTCTCCCACTTTATTTGTTTCGTTGCCGCGAAACGATAACCAATACCGCCTCAGCAGTGTGGTGGGGTCCACCTAGTCAGCATCACACTCCCTCTTGTTGTGTTTGGCGATATCGATGATGAAACGGCAGCTGACAAAAGTCAATACCGCTTCTACTGGTTCGTCCCTCCCAGAGGCCAGAGCCAGAAGTCCCAGTCCTCCTCCTAGCAAGGCGATGTTGGCGCGCGAGAACAGCTGATGATTTCTCACCCACGGCCGAATTTGCTCTGCCCACCCACGCTCCCAGAAACAAAATTAGAGTCGCCGGAGTTGATTCGACGAGTAATCGGTAATTTTATCCTTCATGCTTTTGTCCCATATCTCCTTTCCCTTTTCCTTCGCTTCTTTATTTCCTTCCTCGACCCTCTGGCCTCTGCGCGCCGGCGACTCTGTCATTATTTTATCCGGCCCTCATCAGTTGAACTTTTTCCCCGCGGTTTCGTTTCCTTTTTTTGATTTGGGCGGATCGGATAAGATATTGCTAATTGGCATGATAGCCTATCCGGTCGGAATCTTCCATTTATTCTGGTTTCCTTGTTTTGAGCTAATGGTTAGCCTAATTAGTGGATCTGTTGCTTTATTACTACTGCTAGTAGAGATTTGGATTGTCCTCCTCAAATTGTGGACTTTTCCATTTATTTTCGTGTGTTTGCAGATCTAGAGGAAGCTAGGGTTGGTGGAATTGGGGTTTGAGAAAAGGAGGAAAAAAAGGGAAGCTAGAGGCTGTGAGAGACTATGCATACCAGGTATATGGAAAGGACCAACAGTATGGCTAGAGGGAAGAGGAACTTGGAGGGAGGAGGAGACGAGGAACAGCAGCCTGAGCGGAAACGCCCAGCTTTAGCTAGGTGAAGTTTTATTTCTTTTCAATTTGATTCCTCTAGGTGAATCACTTAATTGTACTGCAGATGTTCTAAAGTTTGAAGTTTAATTCAGGGTAATAAATCAGATTCTATTTCATCAGTATGTGAAGCGAAGATAACATTTTTCTGTTCTTATGTCGTTGTTTACAACCTGGTTTTACTTGATACTAACATTCCATTTTATCTTTCTCTTTGTCGCAAACAGTGTCATTGTTGAAGCTCTAAAGGTGGATAGTTTGCAGAAGCTCTGCTCTTCTTTGGAACCAATACTTCGTAGAGTTGTAAGAATTTCAATCACTTTGCCTTACGGGCACCACAAACCTGTCTGTTAAATCTTTGCTAGAACAGTAATCCTGGTGTCATATGATTGGCTATATGTCTGTTATCTTTGGCTAGTTCTGGCTTTACCATCTACTCTCAAAGGTTATTGCCCTTCGGGAACTCCTCATGTGTTAACACTTCTGTAATCATCACGGAAAATTTGAATGTCTTGTTCTATATCATCTTAGATAGGCACTTGAATAGATGCTCTGTTGATGCTTACTATAAAACTTGTTCGCGTCTTTGCGGGTCTTAACATAATCTGGCTAAATGGTTTTGTTGGGTCCACAATATAAGACCAGTCCAAGGCGGTTGAGGCTTAATCAGGTGAATGGTCATGTAAATAGGGCGGGAACACGCCTATCTCATTTATTAAGCTGAGGAAGTGTGTATTTTTTTTTTTTAATTCTTCATTTCTGTAGGTACTTTAATAAAATATGCATATTTGTTTCTGATTCGAGTTTCTTATAGCATGATTGCAATTTATCCTGAACAGGTCAGTGAAGAAGTCGAGCGTGCCTTGGCAAAGCTAGGCCCTCCTAGACTCAATGGAAGGTAAAAACATATTTTGCTTGTGCTGTACAAAAGCACCTTTCATACCACCAAAATGAGAATTGGACTAGAAAATGGTACTTAAAACTGTAACTTAGGTTACCTCGTAGGCTAAAAAAGATGCTCGTTTTCTGTATGCCTCAAAGGTCCTAGGACATAGCCATATGTGCCTAGCTCCTTTGGAACTAACAACTATAATTGACCCTAGCAACAGCCTTAGTGCTCCTCTAATATGATCAGGATCATCTTATGTTCTCTGACAATTCGATTTAGTTCAAGTTTATCCTACACTACTACTGCCAAAGATTTGGTATTCCGTGGTTGTGTGGATGATTTATGCTTGTGTTGCCTGCAGTTCTAGGGTTTCACCAAAACGAATTGAAGGCCCAGATGGACGAAAATTACAGTTGCAGTTTAGGTCCAGATTGTCTCTTCCTCTTTTCACAGGAGGAAAAGTGGAAGGGGAGCAGGGTGCTGCAATTCATGTAATCTTGCTTGATGCTATTACTGGGCATGTGGTAACGTATGGATCTGAAGCATCCGCAAAACTCGATGTAGTCGTTCTCGAAGGAGATTTCAACAATGAAGATGACGAAGACTGGACACAGGAAGAATTTGAAAGCCATGTGGTCAAAGAGCGTGAAGGAAAGAGACCGTTGTTGACAGGAGAGCTGCAAGTAGTGCTCAAAGAGGGAGTTGGAACACTAGGAGAGCTCACTTTTACTGATAATTCCAGCTGGATCAGAAGCAGGAAGTTCAGGCTTGGCTTAAAAGTTTCCAGTGGATACTGTGAGAGCATGCGCATTCGTGAGGCAAAGACGGAAGCTTTTACGGTTAAGGATCACAGGGGAGAATGTAATTTCCTTCTTCTTTCCTTTTATCTGTTCGTTTAGGGTATAAATGGAGTACTTACTCTCTAGAACTACTATTGTATTCTTCATGTCGGGACAGTGTACAAGAAACACTATCCTCCTGCATTGAACGATGAAGTATGGAGACTGGAGAAAATTGGCAAGGATGGATCATTTCACAAAAAGCTGAACCAGAATGGGATATTTACAGTTGAAGATTTTCTACGCCTTGCTGTCAAAGATGCTCACAAGTTGCGGAACGTAAGTTTAAAATTTTGATTTCTGGATTCCAAGCCTTAAATTATGGGTTCTGATGTATTGAGATTTTGCTGTGTAGATACTGGGAAGTGGTATGTCAAATAAGATGTGGGAGGCTCTCTTGGAGCATGCAAAGACTTGTGTCCTGAGTGGCAAGCTTTATATCTACTATCCTGAAGATTCCAGGAATGTTGGTGTTGTATTTGACAACATTTATCAACTGAATGGCCTAATTTCTGGCGAACAGTATTATCCGGCTGATTCTCTTTCTGATGAGCAAAAGGTGGGTCTTTATATTGTTCTTTGGCGAAAACCACCACCTCTTGTGATTTTGTGCCAATCAGGGTTTAGGATTTCTAACAAGTTTTAGCTTGAGATGAATGGATTTTTATGAATGTTCATTGTAGTTATAGCTGCAGATTTATGTTTCTTTCATCACACTATGTATTTGAGCAAGTTTTAGTGTTTTACTTTTAACTCAATTGGATTACTCATGTTGTGTCCATTAAGCTTAAAATTATTTGAAAATATTTGCTTTCATGTTGAATGCAAAGTTGTGTTGGCTGAAGCTTTCTCTCACACCTTTCTGACTGACATGGGATATGGGCAAATGATTGTTCCAGGTCTACGTGGATACATTAGTGAAGAAGGCATATGAAAACTGGAATCAAGCTGTTGAGTATGATGGGAAATCGCTTCTGAGCTTTAAGCAAACAAAGAGGCCTGCTACTACTTCCCGGAATGAAGGCCAGATTGTCCAAACAGGTCAAATTGATCATCAGACGAAGCACTCTGCAACTGGAGGTATGTATAGTTGCATGACTGAATATGAAAAGATGAAATAGTTTGCTTATGAATCATGATGAGTTTGGCCTATTGGTACCATGGTACATGCTTAAAAACATCCAACTATCTTAGATTCAAGTCATGGCTAAAATTGAATTGGGGTGTATTTGGAAATCTTGTATTCTTTACATGCGTACATATTCTTCCCCTCTTTGCCTCTTAAGAGAAATGTGATATTCATTCCACCGTTAAGCATTCATCTTTGGAGCAAGGATGGCTACACTACATATTACGTAGGTGTATATAATAAGTCATTTTATTGAGGAAAGCATTTGCATGTTGAGCTGTTGTTGCTTAGAGTTGGAGGTCTGTAATTGTAATTTTTACATACATGTGTAGTTTCTGGATTCAACAATGACAACACGGGAGCAAGATACTCGTCTTTGGGGCTCAATCAACCGAACTCGCATTCCCAGTTGGACAGCCCATTGTACATTCCCCAGTCGCAGGATCATCTGCTCCAAACTTGCCAACACTCAGAGGCCACAAATGGTCAAAACAGCCCGGTCAACGGCCTAGCTCTGCGCCCTCCTCCACAACCCTCCACTTTCCAGGCTCTCACTCCATCTACGTTTCAGCATTCTGCTCTGTCTCCATTATTTGACGACTGGAGTAGTAGCAGCAGCAACAGAGACAAAGGCGTGGATGAATTCCTGACGGAGGAAGACATACGGATGAGGAGTTCTGAGATGCTGGAGAACGAGGACATGCAGCACCTGCTCCGCCTGTTCAGCATGGGAGGCGGTCATGGGTCAGTACCGGATGATGCGTTCAGCTTCCCGTACATGTCTACACCAATGCCGAGCTACGACGAGGATCGGAGTCGGACAGGGAAGGCGGCAGTGGTGGGGTGGCTGAAGATCAAGGCGGCGATGAGGTGGGGGTTCTTTATAAGGAAGAAGGCGGCTGAGAGAAGGGCCCAACTGGTTGAGTTGGATGATGAGGAGCCGGAAGTGGTGGAGACCAGTTCCCATGGCGGTGGCGGTGGGTGGAGAGGGAGGAGGTAGTAGAAAGAGTGGATTATGGAGTGTTGTGTGAAGGGAAGCAGAATAAAATCAATTAATCGGAGGTCGATAATGCCTGTGTACAGTACTGGTAACTGGTCTACCTCACCTGTACAGGAAGGAAGGACGCTGTTGCTTATTATCTTTCTCAATTAAGAATGACTGACTTTTGTTTGTGTGAATGGATGGATTGGGTGTAGACTGTAGAATTATATATATTGGACTCTTGGGATAGCAGTAGCACACTAGCATGTACTCTAGCTACTCCTTCCTTCCTAGTAGTGACTTTCTTTCGTTTCGTTTCGTATGTATGTTGTTCTGTACGTGTACGTGTATATATACATATATATATATGTATATAAAGTATAAACTAACCAGGAACGACTGTAGAACCAGTTGTGCTGACTGATGGAGATGGTTACTTGGGTTTGCTTTACAGAATCAAATGAGCCACTAGGAGTTAACGGGCTGTGGGTCCTATCAGTTTGTTTAGTTGGTGGGCTTCGGTTGAGCAAGTTGTGATCGTGATGTGTCGTGGTCCAGGCGCGCTGATTAGGCCCACAAGCATGTTGGGGGGCGGGCACAACGTATTTGGGCCGAAACTTGAATTAGCCCCTCCCCCCCGATGGCATCATCATCAGTCATCACCCACCAAGTACTGGTGAATGGGTAATGTAAACAGCATTGCATATATGGTCGCCAGGTAATTTATAGAAGAAAAATAATTGTCGCCATCATCATCGTCAATCGTCATGTAAACAACATATATGGTCTATGGGACGGCGTGAGGCAGCCCGCCCTGACGGAAGGCAAGGCACGGCACGATCGGCGCGGTGGAAACCGGAAAGGAACTTGTACTTCCGCCCGCGTGCATAAGAGCCGATATGAGAACAATGTGAAGTGGACTGCATATGCATGCAAGTGGCGTATATCCATCGACCATCATAGGATGAAATTTATTATGTATCTAGATAATCAAATACTATGTTTGAAATATGAGTGGTGTACTTAGAAATCCGAATAGTGAGGCTTATTTGAATTGCGATAATTGTGAGAAGGAGTCTAAATCTTTACCAATTATTTTCATTCCTAAATTTGTATTAAATTTACATGTAATTTTACATATATTTCAAAGGTGAGGGTAACTTCAACCTAGCTCTACCATTGTCGAATATAAAACTGCACCCCAAAATCAATCTCAATCTCAAAATAAGTTCATTATTGCAATTCCAATCCCAAAATATTTTGATATCCCAATTGCTATATCGAATACGAAACTAATTATCTTTACAATTAATAATCAAATATATAAATAAGTAATTGTTAGACACTCCTGATGTTGAGCATTTTATATAGTGTAGATTTGTAGATTTAACTTTGTGGTTGAAAATTTTGGCTATGAGAATTTGAGGTGACGAAAGTCTAATAAAAACTAATTGAAATCACCATTGATTGGATTCAATCAATGAATTGATTCATTATAGGTTCTCATTTAGCATAATGAAACTAGGCAAAGGGTCTTCTTGAGTTGTCTAGAGCTAGAACATGAATAAGGAGAAGGAAGGAGATGGTGATATCTCAGTTTCTTGCCATTGGTAATCTTTAATTCAATAAATTGGTGGTTGAGAGACGACTAACGAGAGTGTCTGCTTTTTGGTGTCATACAAATAATAAGAGATTGAGTGAGAGACGAGAGTGACTTAAATTGAAAAGTTAAAATTGAATTGGATGGAGACTTGTGAGTTGTCAAAGAGTGAGGAAGAACCACAATAGGTGTGCTATATTTGATTAAATTATAATTTTTGTTGTGTTTAGGTATATGTTTTTGTGCTAGGTAGGCATCAATTATAATACTGATTCGGTGTTGAGAGGTAGAGAGTAGAATAGTACGCATCAATTATAATACAAATCCTTAATTATAAGCTAGGTTGTCTGTGTTTCTGTGCTCTGCTGTTTTTCGTGTCGTTTTATATCCGTCGTCTGTTCCTTCCGATACTCCGTATACGCTCCTCTCCTAGATGGGGCTGCAGAATGATGAAAATGCAGATCCAAAGTAGTAAACACCCATCGCACAAGACAACATAAAAAACAAACCAAATCAAATCAAATGGTACGGTACTTTACAATTTACCGGCCAAATATCGAATTTAGATAAATTATTATTAAGGAAATTAATTAATTAATTAATTAATTAATTAATTAAACACAACTGTACTCTAACTGAAAGCTAGGTAGTTGGCGCACGACACAACCAAAAAGAGAAATGCCAAACTAAACAACAACCGCAGTAGAAAACACACACTACGTAACGTACGTACTACTGGGACTAATAATAACAATAATAATAATAATAATAATAATATAGATTAACAACAGCGAAATACCGAACAAAACAACAGGAGCAGCAGAGACACTAGCTAGCTACTATACTGCTGGATTAATTAACACTACTTGATTGGAAGAGTATTAACTGGATCATTTATGTATAGATATATCTCCAAGTTTATTTATTTGAGCTGCTTCTCCCATTCATCTTACATATGTGTGCTCATCTACAGGCCATATGATACGAGCTTGCTAGAGAGACAAAACTGGGGTCAAATTAACCAACTCCAAACTATATAGACAAGCAGTAGAAAACATTGACATCTATACACACAGATATAGATATATCTAGTAAGAAGACTACTCCTCGCTAGGGCTGTTAATGAGCGGAGCCGAACTTTGCCATAGCTCGGGCTCAACTTGTTAATATATTCCAGGCTCGAGTTTTAATATGCAAGCTCGAGCTTGGCTCGTTTATGAAAATGAAAGCTCGAGCTCGGGTCGCCAAATAAGTTTAACGAGTCCAAAACCGAGTTCAACACATAAAATGTTCATTATATCTCAAGATTGAGCTAGAAATGAGCACAAAATTACATTCAAACCTGGAGCAAAGTCTAGCAAAACAAAACACAAGATTTATCCCAATTTCAATACACAAAATCTCTGAATTCCAATCCTTTCTAATGTCAAACCGTTAAATGAGCTTGTTCGCGAGCTTTGGAGCTGAACATGGTATGGCTCGAGTTCGGCTCGTTTAGTTAACGAGTTTGTTCGCAAACCGGCTTGATTAATACGAACGAGTCTCGAACAAGTTTTTCTCGAATCAGACGCCGAGCCGTTCATGAGTGGCTTGGTTCGTTAACAACAGTACTCCTTAGTCATTATCATCACTACTAAAATACAAGCAATATGTATGCAGGCAGGATGTAGCTAATATTCAACAACTAGTAGTTAACCCAGTAGCTACGCAATATAAGCTGACCACACATTCACTGAAGCCGCATGCAGCTGGTGGTGGTTGATTTCCATTCCTGTGGGCCGGGCTTTCTCGTCAATATTTCCAGCCCTTCCTGCTCCATCGTCGGTCGTCTCTTTTCAGTTTTCATGAATACATTGCGCTAGCTAGCTGGTCAACTATTAGAAACTATGTACGCACGTACGACTAGTCATCATGTGAGTCACGTACGGTCTCTTGCATCATGTATGTATATATTCACATCGCTCGCTTCTGTGTGTGTATATATATATAGTTTCATCACTTAATTTATCTGTTGCATGCTCCGATCCGTGGCTATATATCAAGTTTATATATGTGTGTATAATGTGTTATTGCTAGCTAGCTACCTAGCTAGGACGACCCACCAATGCCAAACTAATAAACCTAACTAGCTAACTTTACATGCTTGATGTCTTTCACTCTACATATATACTAGGATAAATACAATATAATATATTAGCCATAAATATTAAGCAACGAGAAATTATAGCTATAACTATCGAAATACAAATTATTAGCCATAACTCTAGTTGCGGGTCAAGATTTGGCTAACAACCCGTTAGTGTTTTCAAATTTTTAACGGAGAAGTCCATGTCATCATTGTAAAAATATGATATGATGACTGCCATGTGGGAGCCAGCCCAGTATCGTAAAAGTGTAGTCATCGTTACTAACAGAAGTGTTACGAAAACTTAATGGTTGACTAATAATTTGTATTTCGATAGTTATGACTATAAAATTCCCCGCTGGTCAATAGTTATGATTAATATATTATATTAGCCCTATATACTAATACATACCCCTCTCTCTCTCTCTCTCTCGGGCTGCATATATAAATAAGCTGTGCTTGCTTTTCTAGTGCGTGCCATTTTTTTGGTAATAAAAGGTACCTTAGATGATTAAACATAGAAAAGTCAGGTTCAACGATACACACGAAACATCTTACAATTAGCCACAAATTTCAACACCAAATGTTTCATTCTTTTCCCTTTGCTACTTGCTACCTAATTGACTAAACATGCATGATCGACACCGGCCAACACCCAGCCAGCCTCATTATTCCTGACCTTGTTCATTTCCCCCTTAAGTCTGACCCACTCGATTCATCCATTCATACCCGTGACCTTTTGACATATTCCAATCCCGGCCCGCTTAATTCTAAAATTATAGTACCCCGATTGGTCTAACTTAGCTTTGATCTTTTTTCACAATTCATGTATAAAACAAATTTATATAATTCATCGCAATTAAAATAAAATGAGATAATTAGGGGGTAAGATATTGTAGAAAAGGGAGGGGAAAAAGAAAAGATAAAGTCAAATAGGTAGGAAAGGGAAAGGGAGGGTTAGGCGGCCGTGGTGCGCGTGACAGAGAGAGATATACAGATATGCCTTTGTATTATTGCTTTCCATGACTTCACTCAACAAAAATATTAATAAAAATGGTACATATGGGGTTGGCCTATTAGTCACATAAAGCACGGTGTGTGTTAATTGAGGTCACGATATATGTGGAACTTTTTAACATTTTATTTGTCAAAACGCCAGAAACGCCTTCTGATGCATTTCTTAATTATTTGGATTAGTTCCAATTGCCCTATTAGTAAGCGGAAGAGTTACCCGTCTAATTGATGGTCTCAAAAAAAAAATTATCAATACAGTAACAAACAGCCAGCCTAACA